GAGCAGGTGGGGATTGATTTATATAAATAAATCTTTTCCTGTGTAACAGGTGTCGGGAAGACAGTAAGCTTCCAAATCAGATTATATACATGTAACTACTTCATAGCCTACAGGTATTTACTGGTGAAAACTATCGAACTATTAAAGCCCATTATTCACATCATTTTACCTATAGAGGATTAATGTCTTTCATAATATAAGTAATAGAGTTTTCTATATTGTTCACATCAGTGTGAAATAATTCTAATAGAGCATGGTTAAGCTGTAAACCTGCCAATCATTATATTCCTATATTATGATATTATTGTTATTAACTCAGCGGGTGTACATATACATGTAGTTAGTTGAATTGACATTGATTGACACATGCTTATGTCAAGATCAATCAATAATATATGAATGGTTAGCTGTTGTTGATTAATAATTTCAAGTGTAAACGGTTAGATTATTTACATGAGTTAAGTGATGTATTAGTATTATGGTGTGATATTTGATCACATTGATTGAAATCAATATAATTTGAATGAAATGAATATCATTAATACAGATTACAATACAAATTATATAATGGGAAACTAAGCTAAACCATGTATAAAAAACGAATTTACTTATTAAAGGCTCAACAAACTCGATCGTTCACATGTATCTCTAAAATTAAAAATATATACCGTTTAAGGTTAGGTATGTGATTAAGTGAGAAAAAGATATATGATTATTATTACTTTATTTGTCTAAGACATCTAAAGATGGTGGTGTGAACACCAATAGAAACTTTAAATGGCTATAAGTTATAGTATAACCTAATTTTTAATTGTTTGATTTGAATATTTTATTACATAAATATTTTAAAATGAAAGTACTTTTGTGACACGTTGGGTCTTTTTATATGTATGTTTTACCTAGATAAAACAGAAAGCAAATGAACATGATTAATATAAATCACAATAGAAATATAATGAGAAAATAAAACAAGTCATTGTAGGAAAAAGTAAATGTGAATGCTTTACATGTAGAAAAACACAACAAAGTAGATGATAATCTACTTATATGGGTGTATAAGGACGTGTAGGAGTTATGACATTAACACTTACGCAACATTTCTCTGGTGACACTGACAAAACCGACTTGACAAGATGGTTCATCCTAGTGATGTAGTCAGGTTATCGTTAAGATGAGGGCTTGGTCCACTAACTTAATTTCTCACATCCTGAATTTTATGTTTTCCAGGAGTTATAAGTAGTACACTTTATTTTTGAGCAGCCTAGGGACGGAGCATCTCTTTCTGCAATGTTATGGATTCGTCCTTCTGTGAAACATAACATTTTTTATGGAGAATATTTTCAACCAGTCTTTGTAACTAGTTAAATATTTATTGAAAGTTTCTAATTTTGATATGTGCAGACGGCATGATGGCCATTTCTTTATCGTTATTTGTTGGATGTTAATGCCAATGCAGGGGTTGCACATGTCTCTTTTGATTCAAGTTATACTGAAATATCTGTTACTTTATAAAATAAACGTAAACTTCTAGTCTAAATTGGTATAGAAATGGCCAGGGGGGCTTTGTAATTAATCCAGAATAAAGTGGCTTGCTGCACTAGGCTATAGATATCAGTATAAAATCAATGGTATTAATAAGATATAGTGAGATATCTTCAAGTGTAGAAAGAGTTACAGTGGGAGGTTGAGCCTCTTGTTTATATAAAAACACAAAACATAGCAGACGGGCACAGGTGATAAAATTCCAGTCTACTAATACCCAGATCAGGACCACTATATGTATTCTGTCAGCAGACTCAATATGCAGAGATCAAAATTAAGGGAAGCAAAGAGTTTGATGTATATATAATTAACTCACAGTGGAGCAGAAGTAGCTCACTGAGAGGCCACCAAATTAGATTAAAACTCTCTAATGCCATTCACACATTTTTTCCTACATGCATGCAATTGCTTTTGTGCCGTGAAGCAGAACTCTTTCTCTCCCAGGAGATTTCCCTCAGTATTGTTTAATATCCCTGTTTTTTAGCTCTGCTTAACCATTTGTGATGTTATGGAAAGTTATTCATATTTTCTGATTAGAAGGTAATGTAATAACAGATTACAAAACGTCTTTAAAGATACATTCCCGTGTACAAACTGGGTGATTTGATGATCTTTTTGGACTAAAAACATATTCAAACTAATTAATCTAACAAAATTTTGCTTCAAATCCTTCTCAAAACACTGTTTTCGCGATGGAATACCCCTACTATAAAAAATCTATTAAAAGAAGTCAGGTTTGTGTCACGTGACTTTGCTGAAGAACTACCTAGCAAGGGTGCGAAGCCAGAGTAGAATTCTTTGCATACGCAAGACGATGTTGTCTTTAATCGCTTTCCATAAATCATAAGTATTGAAGCATAGTTAAATTCTTTGATTATCCACTGCCCACATCTTTTTCCGTGGGCTGACGATTAGGGAAACCCTTACATTTTTGTCCTGTATGTGTTCCATGGGTGTTTTTAGGTGATCCAGTATTTTTCTAGTAAGATTGGATATTTCTACTTTCCATATATACCAAAATTGCCATACTTTTATTGGAAATAACTACCCGATAAATACTTTTCTGGGAAAGTATCTTTAAAAGATATCTTATAGTTTCTCAACATGGGCTATGGCTTTTCTAAATCGAGAAAATGAAACATCTTGTTTTCATTCAAGGCAGGGGGCAATTGTTTTTTGGCTCATTTTATGAACCATAATATTTTTGTTTAGAGTTTTTAGTCATAATTTTAAATTCGTAAAATATCTTAAAAACCTGTTGAAGTAATCAAATTTATAATCTGTAATAAAAGACGTATAATCAATTTTAACACACATGTATAGTCTAGTGACAAGATGTTATGCGACACAATAGAATAGTATTAAGTGGACTTTACAGGGCTCTCGTTTCGGGCATATTTTTCAGTCACAAATGGCTAATTTCCCTGTCTGTCACGAATAACAAATTTCCATGTCAGTCAATTGCATGCCCAGAACAGTAGGACGTTAAACCCCATTTCATTTCATTTCAATTCCATGCCATTAAATTTGAAAGAATTTAATCATAAAACACAATATATACAGTACGTAACATTTTAAACTTGGTGTCTGACATGTATTATAAGTAGAAAAAACAAACCTGTATCAGACAAGATGAAGAAACCTGAATTTTTGCTTGACATTGTCTGTGACATGTGCCTTAATTCCATGAATGAACATAGCATACACTGACTCATACACGACAACCTACCACTGCCATAAGAAAATGGGGCAGTAGACAACATGGACATTATGTAGATAAATAGTATATACAAGAATGGTATTATACAAGTATAATTCTTATAATGTATAACAATCAAAGAGTATAATTCTGTCTCTAGTTTGACTAGAATGACTGTTACCTGCTACGGCAGAATGTAATACAAGTCTGATTGAAACGAGGGTGGCAGAATAATCACCTACATTTATACTAAATACAGGAAGCTTGAACTCTGTAATTTATATATATATCACTTTAATATGGTGGGAAAAAACACTGACACTTGCAACAAATGTGACGGCAGTACTTGAAAAAACCAAATCATTCTGTTTACAAATTTAAAGAATAAAAACCAAATCGCATAATAAATGAGAATAATTTGTCACTAATTTGTGTTTATATTATTTCCACACTATAAAAAATAGATTTATGGAGATACAAGTAGGCATAGGTATTCTGATGTAAATTAGATACTGTATATAAGTCTTGTATGTAATATAGAAAATATATCGTGTTATTTGTGGCCTGTTTTATACAAGGTCATATTTACATAGTACACTCCCTTACTCCAATTTTTATGTGATTTTAGTTTTCTTTTTGTATTTTGTGATTAAACAAAAACTGTGATACACAATTCTGTAACTTGTAAGAAAAAAAACCCTCCTTTGTGTCATCATTGTGTAGGTATTGATTGTTTCTACACACATTAAGATCTCACATGTAGATAGTAGATCTAGTAGTAGACCATAAAATATACAGTTTATGTCCACTTCTTTTTTTATCGTTCAAAATTCACACTATTAAAAATCTGACATCATATAATACATCACAATCTTTGAATAAGGAACATAAACATACAAAAGCAGTTCTTCCCATCCATGACAAAACAAGGCCCAATTTCACTTAACATTTAATGAGTTTCATCACAGTGTCGTGTTACTTGTGTACTGTAACCAGCCAATGAAAATGCACTTGACATGCAAAGCTTCAGCAGCTCTCTTAAGAGATCCCTTTTTCCATCAAGTATGAATTATATTGCATTTCTCTGGAAGTAAATCTCAGAAAATTGCAAAACTCCTCAACGTTCATCATTACCAGGTTCTAATTTTGTGTTAAGAAAACACATAATTATTTTAATGGTACATTAATTGACAACATTGATTTGATATTTGTTGTTTATTTCATGCAATGTCTGTGTAGTTTGTCATGTCCACAGGTTTGTCTTGTCGGTTGTGTTTTGCATATAGTGCAGTCCTCCTGCACTTACTATTAAGAACAATGTTTATGTATTTAGTATATAATGTGCTATATAAATATCCTCATTATTATTTATCATCTTTAAATTTAAGAGTGTTGCCAGATTTGTCACCATTTGCAACAAATGTTGGGTTGTGCTCCCCTTTCTTCCCCCCACACCCCACATTCACTGCTGACATTAAACATGTAAACTACCAGCAGTGTTAGCATTTGATATTAAAATAATGTGACAAAAATCAGCATTGTATGAAAAAAACAGTTATTCTGGTCTAACACGTATTTGTAATTGAAGAGATTTGTTTGCTGAACTGACAATTGTCAGAAACACTGGAAATATTTGCCAATATTTTGACTTGCAGTGTTAATGAAAAATTTAAAGATTTCTCGATAAGAACACCACTGTTATTAATCACACGAATATCTGATGACTTGAGCTCAATCAAATTTATTTTTTTTCTTCCAGGAACAATTTCAACAACCAGTAGAAAACTTGATCGGGAAGCACAAGAAGAGCATGCATTAGAGGTAAGATAAGCCTGTACTTGTAAGCAATCGTATTTATTTACTGTCAGTGACTGGCTTTTTTCTCTCTTAAAGAAACACAGATAGTCAGTATGGATGTGAGCTTAAAGGAGAAGTTTGATGTAAAATCATGTGTTGGGTTATTATGGTATATGTAAAGAATGGTATTACTAATTGAAAAATGATTTGATTATTTGTTATCTGAGTCACTAAAAACTTTCCGTTTCTTTGATATCGTAAAGATTAAAAAAGAACAATTATTTTTGTTGATAACAAAAAGGATGAGTTTTTGGAAACTGAGTGTTTGAGATAGATATGAAACAGGAACCATTATATCTGTTATATATTATGTTTGATTTATGGTCATCTAAATCATAATAAGTTTATTGATGTTTGTAATTGTGGCACTTTTCCTTTTAGTGGTCCACCCAATACTTAACTAGTCTCTGTTGATTTAAACACATTAAACATGTTGCCAGTCGTGTTGTGAGTTGTAGATATGTTCTAGATAAGGTACCTCTCTAGACAAATTGATCTTCTTGCTTTCTGATTGTTCAAATTGGGCTAAGGGAAGCCATTAAGATTCCAGGACCGTTCAGGGAGGACTATTTATGAGGGTATTTTAGAGAAACAGATTCCACCATTGAAAGTAATCCGTTGTCAGGCATGTGCTAGATTTTTATCTTCTAATTGAGTTTTTTTTATCAACCAGCTATCAGCCATAAGAGACAATAAATTACATTTAAGAGGAAATGGCATATGCTCATTATTGATAGTTTGATACTGAATTAAAACTTTTTGTGTCTTGAATTTCCTAGTGAAGATAAAAATGAATTTACTTCAATATCAATGTCAAATGTGCACATTTATCAGTAGAAAAAATATATTTTGCTGATCACTAGGAGTGTCGAATAGCTGGTGGACCTTGTGACCTCATTAATCACAAACCTATATGGAACAGATCTTGTAGGTTTCAAAGGTTCTATGTGATTAAACTTATTATTGCTATGTTATAAAGTCATGTCAACACATTCTTTTGATCTTTCATAGAGGGCTAAACTTATCAATAAATTGGGATATTAAAAGGGGATCTTGATTAGGCTAAAAACAATTATACCCATATTTATGGTTAGATTACCCCCCAAAATAGGGTTGACATTAACTTATATTGATCCATATCGATTTTGTAATATACCAGTAAAACTTTTTATTTCTTCAATGTGGAAAGGACTTAAAATTCTGAAGACGATTCCTGCAATTCTGTGATCAGATCCACATGGATTTGGCCAAGTGTCAACGTTTCTTGCTTACTTTATGGTTAAAGATGCATAATGTAAGATTTAGATTAAGAGCTGGCCATTCTTGCTATAAAAGTTGAAATATAGATAATGAAAAGTGAATATATTGAAAATTTCATTCAAATTGCTTGATTTTGAGTGAAGTTATGGATGCTGGAGGATGTAGCGTAGATTGTTCATTATGGTAGCAATGATACTGGACAAACCAGACTAAGTCTTGATTAACCATTTTATTATACGTCCACATTCATAATGTGAACGTATTATGCCGTCGCCCCTGTCTGTGTGTGTGTGTGTGTGTATGTATGTATGTGTGTGTGTGTGTGTGTGTGTGTGTCTGTGGTTCGCCTACAGGGCGCAATTCTTCATGGATTTTCTTCAAACTTGGTATACTTATTCCTTATACCCCAAGGAAGATCCCTATTGTTTTTGGTGCATGCCCGACCCCCCGGGGCAGAGCCACGCCCATTTCTAGTATTTGTTTGTTTGTCGTCTACAGGCCACATTTCTTAACTAATAATCTTGAAACTTTGCATACACATTCTTTGTACCCTAAGGAACATCCCTATCGTTTGGGGTGCATGCCCAACCCCCAGGGGCAGAGCCACGCCCATTTTCTTTTCGTGTGTCTTTGTGTCGCCTACAGGGCGCAATTCTTACTGGATTTTCTTCAAACTTGGTATACTTATTCCTTATACCCCAAGGAAGATCCCTATTGTTTTTGGTGCATGCCCGACCCCCAGGGGCAGAGCCACGCCCATTTCTAGTATTTGTTTGTTTGTCGTCTACAGGCCACATTTCTTAACTTATAATCTTGCATACACATTCTTTGTACCCTAAGGAACATCCCTATCGTTTGGGGTAAATGCCCAACCCCCAGGGGCAGAGCCACGCCCATTTCCCATTTTCTTTTCGTGTGTCTTTGTGTCGCCTACAGGGCGCAATTCTTACTGGATTTTCTTCAAACTTGGTATACTTATTCCTTATACCCCAAGGAAGATCCCTATTGTTTTTGGTGCATGCCCGACCCCCAGGGGCAGAGCCACGCCCATTTCTAGTATTTGTTTGTTTGTCGTCTACAGGCCACATTTCTTAACTTATAATCTTGCATACACATTCTTTGTACCCTAAGGAACATCCCTATCGTTTGGGGTGCATGCCCGACCCCAAGGGGCAGAGCCACACCCATTTTCTTTTCTTTGTATGTCTGTGTGTCGCTTATAGGCCACAATTCTTAATCGTCTTGAAAATTTTTCATATGAATTGCTTATACCCTAAGTATGATCCCTATTGTTTTTGGTGCATGCCCGACCCCCAGGGGCAGAGCCACGCCCATTCCTTATATTTATTTATTTGTTTGCCATCTACAGACCGCATTTCTTAACGTATCATCTTGAAACTATGCATACTTATTCTTTGTACCCCTAGGAACATCCCTATTGTTTGGGGTGCATGCCCGACCCCAGGGGCAGAGCCACGCCCATTTTCCTTTCTTTTTATGTCTGTGTGTCGCCTATAGGCCACAATTCTTAATCAATCGTCTTGAAAAAATTTCATATGAATTGCTTATACCCTAACGATGATCCCTATTGTTTTTGGTGCATGCCCAACCGCAAGGGGCAGAGCCACGCCCATCCCTTATATTTATTTATTTGTTTGTCATCTACAGATCGCATTTCTTATCGTATCACCTTGAAACCTAGCATACATATTCCTTCTATCCTAAGGAACATCCCTATTATTTGTGGTGAATACCCAACCCCCAGGGGCAGAGCTACGCCCATTTTCTTTTTTTATGTCTGTGTGTCACTTGCAGACCGCATTTCTTAATCGATCATCTTGAAAACTTTTTTATACTTATTCCTTATAGCCTAAGGCTACTTTTTATACTTATTCCTTAATCCTAAGGCCGACCTCTATTATTATTTTTGGTGCATGCTCGACCCCATGGGACAGAGCCACGCCTAATGTTAGTGTGTCTTGTGTTTTGCCTACAGACCGCAATTCTTAACAGATCCTTTTGAAACTTTGCATACCTATTCGAAACGTCATGCTTTTAGAATAAAGACATCGATAGTTTTAAAATAAAAATTGTGTTCTGTTAATGTGAACGAAGTGTTAAACTGATAGCAGTCCTACAACCCAGTTTTATTTCACAGACCCTCAAAGCAAACTGGACCATATTAAACAAAACAGGAATGTGGACGTATATTGCTGCGTTAGCGATGCTCTTGTTTTTAACCTTTTTAACCTCACGAGCGATCTATTCCATTTAAATTTCTGCTATCCATGTTCTAGAGAGTTGATTATGAGCCTGGCATGTTAATAAATGTCTAAATAATAGTTTATATAACATTTAAAGCCAAAATAAAGACCTGCAATAGGTAGATTTATCTCGTACACAATGTGTCTTTAAGCTTCCGGAAAATAATGCTGATCCGGGCTGTTGTAAATTCCAAAATTTGAATGGTGGAATTAAATCTGTCTACGGAAAAGCATGTCTAGCTCAATTTATATGATCTAGGAAATAGGGGGAAAATGTTTAGGGTCAGAGATTTTGGCTCCATAATGTAGGAGCAGTTGGCATGTAAACACAGATATTTTTGTTTTGGCCTTATGCACATTAGGGCTGTTACTTTAATATTTTGTTTGTCATGCATATTAACAGGTCATTTGCAATGAAATATAAATAATATTGTCATTGTGTTAGTTTAAATTCCAATGCAAAATGTTTTTACATCGAAAAAATTCACTGTTTTAATAATAGTTCAGATTTGTTCAATATTCCCATTTCATTGCTTGTTACTTGATTTTTGATTATTTTCTCAGATATTTAGGACTGGTAAATACGATTGAAATACGAGAGCACTGGTGTATTATCTAAGTAAACTATCCTAATGCAATAAGATTTTTTTGCTGAGCTATCAAAGTAGTAGAGACGCTGTGTCAGGAAATATAGACATGTGTAACTTTAATCACATTACCTTCCGTGATGGTTCACGCTTCTAAAATTCAAATGTTAGTCGTTAGTGATAAATCAAAATGTAGCACTTTTATATTGAAAGATAAAGAGCTCTTTTGTTAATAGGTCTTTTATTCTTATCTTAGAAGTTTTTTTTCATTTGAAGTCTTTACTCTTGTGTATAGATCTATTCATAGGATGCAGAGAGCAATCAGTAGATTTTACATTACTCTAACTTTGTAACACAAATAAAACAGATTTTCTTTCTTTAACTGCATTTATTGAATTGTCAAGATGACCCAACTTTAAAATTATTAACTATTTCTTCATTTCATCGTGATAACTTTGATGACTGTTGCCTGAAGCTAATCAAAATTTATTAAAGATAAATGACTTGCGAAAATGTTATCACATTGACCTGAATTTAAATAATATACATTGTAATTATTTATTCAGTGGACTATGTCAATTTTGACACGCTCTAAGTCTCGACATTCACATATAAGCTCTATATATGTTTGTTTACTCAGCTGACTTTTTACACAAATTTTGATTATTTTATGACGAACACCCAGGAATAAACAGCACAAGATGGAGAAAGCTGTGAGAACAGGAGAAAACATTTTTTTTCCCTTTTATCCACGAATAAAACTCATTATACAGGCATACTGTTCTAAATCTTATTCAAGGCCTGTGAAATTTAACCCCTCTTTTTCCTGAATGTTTAAAAAGTGTTTAATTGCTGAAGAATGAAATATAAAATAGACTTGTTTGTCTAAATGTAATCAAGATTAAGTCACACTTTTCATATCAAAAGAGTTTGAGTTCAGATTAGGTACAGTGTTTCATTGTTTGTTTTTTCCACCATATTTCTTTTTAAAGCACTGATCTTTAATAGAAGCCTATACAAAGAGATCTCTTACAGAACTACCTGTATTTTAAAATTATCAACAATTCTGTGAAGATGAGTCAGTTTAAGTCTGGACTTGAATAACTAAAGCTGTTGACAATCTTTTAGATCTTTCGGTAACTAATTATCCCAAACGTTAATGTGATAACGGAAGAGAAAACACCCCTACTCGTGCCTGATAACACGAAATGTTCAAAAGCATTCTGTCTTCATCATCTTTAATAAAAAAGAAGAAGTCAATTAGTTCTAGATGTTTTTATACTGGTAAATAAAAAACAATCTATAGTTGTTTAGTATCTGGCATCTTTGATAAAATAAATATCCTACTTAAAGGCCCCATTCAGTTTCACCTACAGTACAAGAAAACCACCAATCTCTTGGTATGTACATGTACGTACATTACTGAAGATGTACATACCTAGTTGCAGAGTACAATTAGTTATCCACTCTTAAAGCTCACAGGAAAAGCTTTGTACATCTTTTAAATAATACAAGTAATTATGTCATCATATCCTTTCCATAAGTATAAAACGACCCCGAATGTCACTGTTTAATTCCTGCCACAGGTAAATTTTAACGTTAGTGATTTCTGCTGTTACCTGTGGCAGGTAGCATTGACATTCGGGGTCATTTTATACTTATGAAAAGGATATTTTGACATTATTACTTGCATTAGTGAAAACGAACATAATGTTATTTCTGTATAAGATATAATTGGTCAGATGCAGGAACTGTGTAGGAATCTGTAATTTCATGCAGTAAGATTAGACACAAAAAAGCCATTTCGTTACCCAATCACAATTTAAACAATAGTTTGTCAGATTTTCTCTGTAACTTTATTGATACGTTTGGTATTGATCACATGTGTCTGAACGACAGGATTAATTGGGCAATGGTGTGTAACAATTTTTGTGGTTACACGTTTAAAGATCTTTAAACAATATTTTGCACACAATTGGTGCAGAATGTTTTAGGTTCAATGAATCTTTCATATCCAATCTAATGATAACTTGAACATAATATAGAAATATTTTGGTTGTTTTATTGTGGGGTTCAGTAAGTACGTGTAGGCTTGTGTGTAGATAATTGCCAGTATTTATCTTATTCATTGAACACATATTTGTAAGTTTATTTATTTCAATAAATGTAGCTGTTGCTATGCTGAATATAACAAAATGGTGGCTGTATGTGTAGAACTGAAGGATCTTTTTTAACAAATTTGTTATACAATGATGTTTCGATAACAAGAGCTATCAATTATGACTATTTAAAACGTATGAGATCCGATGAAGTAGAACGTGACCAACCATAATAATAGATGACTGCAAAATAATAAAAAAACAAAACCAGAAAGACCAACAAAATGTTATTTATATACTCTTGACAGCCAATTAATGTAGGATTAGTTTTAACACAAAAATATTTTAAAATATGTATAGATCATATTGTTCCATTAATAAATGTTTTTCTGTAATTAACCTAACAACAGCTTGGTAACTAAAGGCCACTAAAGAGTTAATGTGTATATATAAATGATATTTCAGGTGACCATATCTGATAATGGCCGACCAGTATTACAGTCAACTACAAGAGTAATTGTTAAAGTAACAGACATCAATGATAATAAACCAAGATTTCTGCAACATGTCCAGAAAGCCTACATCCGTGTACTGGAATCAACATCCAGTAGTGCCAAACCAATTTATCGTGTTTTGGCGAAAGATAAAGATGATGGTCCAAACTCCTTTATTACATACACATTGAGCAAACAGAAGAATTTACCATTTAGTGTTGACAGTAGTACAGGCAATATCTATGCCATCAGTGGTCTGATCACTGGTCGTACATATGACCTTAATGTAAGTCTGTTTAGTTTAGTTTTGCCGTCATACATGGTGATCACCATTTACAATTGTGACAGCGATCACCATTTACCAATGTTTTTGCACCACACTCTAAACAATCTATAGTAAATATACAAAAGTTATAAAGCAGAGCATATTGATTGTTGTATAACATTTCATTAGAAAATCTTACAGATGGAAACTCAATAGAGTCTAAGTTTGAAGGTCTTGTTCCTCTAATAGTACATGAGGACCAGTCAGAATTAACTCGAACTTCACATTGGCTTTTATTAGGAGCAACTTCTGTGTAACTGATTAGAAAGATTTATGGAGAAATTGTAATCTTTGTTTAAAAAACACCATATATTTATAGGCAAATGAAATGATCCAAAAGTAGAATATACAACAATTGCCCTGAGAACAATTACTGCTGCTATCAGACATAAAACATTTCAAAACCAGACTAGATCATGAGTTGTTTCAAATTTACTCCAGTGCTTTATTTAATTGTAGTTTTAAAATGTGTTTTATTATTACAGGTTAAAGCTACAGATCATGGTTCACCACCACGTAAATCACAAACCCGAGTTTATATATCTGTTATATCTAGACCTACTATATCACAATCACCACCACAGTTTCAACAAAATACATATCAAGCTTTTGTTACAGAGAATGATATAGTTGGTCATTTAGTTACAGATGTTACAGCTACTGATGATAATGATAAACTATGGTACTCTATTGAAGGTATATCATCTCAATATTTTATTATCTCATATAAACACAATGACTGATTTGGGTCTGGACATAAAACTACTGATTGTCATTTGTATATTTCGGACAATATCTAATTTTTTATAGCATTATCCATGTTAAAATGTATTCAAATTGATTATTCAACATTTGATTAGGAAAACAACCCAAAATGTCAATGATAGATCATCCCCCAACTAAAAAACAGCTAATCAAAAGAATTTACCAAACACTTATGAAATCAAACTGGCTGGTTTACAATATCTTTGTAAATACTGAAAGAATTGAATCATGTTTTGACCGATATCCATTTTAGAGATTCAGCTTTCCCCAATATTGTAGTTTGCAAGGGATTCCCAAACCTTTAAACCACACTGAGCAGCTTGAATATCAAAAATATTTAGCAGTTGGAGCTTTATCAGCTGATGACATCAGCAGCATTTTAATGTCATGTATGTGGTTACTGTTCAGGGCATTCCAGACACTTCCCAAGTTTGATAATGAACATTATGATAAAATATAGACATGTTTAACAGAAATTAGATGTTACCGGTAATTCAAATAGATAATTGTTTCAAGTACTTATACTGTAAATATAAGGATTGCACATTGAATTTTTGTGGTTTATGGGTGTTTAGTCTCATGTTAAATTGACCATAAACAGTGTCTTGGTTGATGGAATGTAATTTTGAGAGCAACTGAAGTTTATACACCTATAAACCACAAAAATTCAACATTCAATCCTTTGTAGTTGAATCATAAAGTGGTCGTCTGAATAGCCATATTCAAAATTTACTTTTTTGAGAGCCAGTATCACGGATGAAGTCAACTACACAAGTCATTAGTCTGAAAAGTCGACAAAATGTAATATAAATGATTTAAGTAAAGTAGGACTAGTCTGTATTTGAAACATGTTGAGTGAAAAAAACAGTCTTCTATATTAATTGAAACACTTTATTTAGCTAATGGAATTTAAAGACTAATATAGAAAAACATGATCGGAAACATCTTTTAAGAAAAATGTATTAGTCTGTTAGACTGATGTTAAGGAAGTTGTGTTGGGCTGTCAATAAAGTTATTGCTCTCAGACTGATCACCCAGTAATACTAATTCACAACCCAGAACATTGTCATGTAGCTAGAGCTCTGAAGATGAGATTTTCAGTTTGAACCATTTTCATAATTTTTCACATCACATACTGGGGTATATGCATTAAATGGTTACATTGATATAACATAAAGCTAACAGGTGCTATCCAAATGTGCAGCTGTTTTAAGAAGAAAGAAGGACAAGATTGTAGATTATTTATTTAAGAATGACGGGAGGAAGTGTGATATTGATATAATAAAGACTGTATTACTTCCATTAAACTTCCTCTTATAAAATCCTTTGTTGCCAGTTTTCTTCAAACATTTGTTTGATGAAATTAAGATATTAATGGAAAAAATGCTTTAAATGAAATTAATGGGCAGGTATAAACACAAAATACTGTTTTCTACCAAATTGTCTTTCAAATTAAAATCAGATGTTATTTTCATTCCGTTCACTTGAATGCATGGTCAGTTCATTAACATCTAAAGACATGCCCCTGTGATGACAGCATACTAATACCTTAGACCATGATGTCTGGATAACAAAAGCAATTTAAAAAATTACGGCAAATTTTGAGTAGTAGGTTGATCTTGAGGCTACGAGCATTAATCGGTGTATGCCCAAAAAGAAATACTTTTATACAAAGAGAAAATAAACAACTAGAAAATAAAATGTAATTGTGTGAAATTTTTATCAAACTGTTAATTGACTTTAAATTTTGATAAAGTTTTGTTATGTTCATTGTAAGATTTGTTATGTTCATTGTAAGATTTGTTATGTTCATTGTAAGATTTGGTATTGTAAATTTTAACATTTAAAGGTAGAACATGCCATAGCTGGGATAGCTGGGAGTAAATAGTTAACCTTCTTATGGTATACGTGTCTAACGTAGAATATTGCTATTGTTATTACAGGTGGAAATGAGAACCATACCTTCACCATCTTACCTAGTACAGGTACCATATTATTGGCTAGAACCGTCAACTGGGAGAAGAAATCATCATACAATCTGACAGTTTGTGCTACAGATGGTATTCACACTAATTGTACCTCGGTAATTACCATCTTGATATTGTTAATATTTCAACAAAGGAAAGATAATGACATGTAAATATGTCTGATGACATGTCAGTATTTAGCTGATGCTATTTATGTCATGGCAATGTGTTCTTGTAGACACATTTATTATCATTATATCAAGCTAATATATATAAAATGATGAACTAGTTAAAAGTGTGTGGTTATATCACATTATTATAAACTATGTTATAATTGTGACCAACTCTTGTTAAATCAGACACAGGTTAAATAAACAAAACACGACTATGTATAGATTTATATTTCAAAAACCCTATAAATAAGTGTATGACATATGTAATTAACAGTGCTGGATTTAGATGAAAAAGACACTGTGCCGTTTCCCTTTTGGGGCCCCTCATGACTAGAGAAAGATGGAAAAGTGTTTTAAACAAAACTTAAAGTCAAGTGTTTAGGACTGAAGTGCATGTAAGAAAGACTTATGACGTGTCAAAATCATTATACATCTTGATTGGACCTCCCCCCCCCCCTCCTCCTCTTAGAAATTAAGACCCCTTATTAAATCTGTCAATGGGTATACACTATATACCATAATATTAATTGTCAGATACAAGCAATTAATACAAAACTAATAAAAACTGCAACTTTTCTACATTTATAATTCTTTGCTTATAAAATTTGAGCACATTAAAAATAATTCATATTTAACAAAAAACAAAAATAAATACGCGAGAATACTAGAAACTTAGAATTTAAGCATTTGTGAAATGCAAGTGACATTTGGGTGAAATGAAGTTTGTTTTTATTTTATAATCAAATTTAGACATGTTATTGTTTGAATCTGTTAGAATCTGTTACTGTAACATATGGTAACCATATGTCGTCAGTATAAAAGATTAAATCAATAAAAATGTTGATCCATAGTATTCACTGTCCAGTGTTGCTTGACCATTCCGAATATATTTAATAAGTTTAAAAGACAATATTTGAAAAAAAAAATATAGATATTTGATTGTATTATTCACACATATTCATTTCCATAATACGTAAAAATTAATTTGACTAAACATGCATTCTAACAAGGAAATAAGAGTAAATTAATTCTGAAACTAAAAGCTTTTTGTAAGTAAGGTTTTTTGCGCCAGCAGGCAGCATTTATTAAACACCTTGAAAACCACTAAATAATAAGTGATATCATGTATGTTAGAAATAATAAGTGATATCATGAATGTTAGACATAATAAATGGTATCATGTATGGCAGAATAATAAATGGTATCGGGTATGTTAGAAATAATAAAAGGTATCTTTCAGAATAATAAGTGGTATCATGTATGTTAGAAATAGTAATTGGGGGGGGGGGGTGGATGGCCAAATGGTTAGCATGTGTACGCTGTATCATAAAGTCTGTCATTGAGTCAACTGGCGTGGTTATGAATCCCCATTTGTACGTGACAAGGAGTAGGGTCGCCTGTCCAACCTCGTGGGTTTTCTCCGGGTCCTCTGGTTTCCTCCCATTGTTAAAGATCTCTACGCGCAAGCAAATTATAGAAATAAAATTGAACCATATGTTAGTCCCAAAATAACCTAGTTTGTGTTGAGTGGACATTAAACCCCATTTCTCTCTCTCTTTTAAAAATAGTAATTGATATCATGTATACTGTATACTGATATGATAAATGGTATCATGTATGTAAGAATGATAAGTGATAGGTGATATCATGTATGTTAGAAATAAGTGATATCGTGTATGTTAGAAATAATAAATGGTATCATGTATGTTAGAAATAATTAATGGTATCTGGTATGTCAACTACATTAATGAAAAGGTCAGTGAAAAGTAACGTACTATTGTATGATTGATCTAATATATTTAATTTATATTTATCTAGGTGTATGTGAAAGTTATTGACGTCAACGATAATGAACCAGTCTTCTCTCAAAATACGTATTTAGCAGAAATCTCAGAGAGTGCCAAGGTTGGCCAATCAGTCTTGAAATTGTCAGCTACTGATGCAGATGAAGACAACCGTGTGTTCTTTACAATAACTTCAGCAGCTAATCTGATTAGTCAGAAGTTATTTGAAATAGATGAGACAAGAGGTATTTACACCTTTTACTGTTATCTAAACACACAATACCTACAGCTCTCTAATTTAATGTCAAATAGATATCAGCATTAACTATATTACATATTGTGAACTGTTGTCTTTCTCTCTCATAACACACTACACTTTCTCTTCTGTAATATGTAGACAGACTTATCTTGGATAAAGTTCATTGAATTTATTAGATTACGTATAAAGCTTCCTAGACATACTTATTCTTAATCTTAGCCAAGTAGCTTTCTTCTACTGTTCTGTGTTAAAATAAGCCCTACATTAGCATGCTGGTGATAACTATTAGATTCTGGCAAGTGAAGAATAGCTCTCAATGATATTTTCAGCCAACATTTTATTTCTTTAAGAATGTTAAAGCCATCTTGACATGCATTGAATATATAATAAATAAAGTGAAATGGGTTTAACATCCTATTTTTCTGCCCCAACCAATCTAATAAAAACAAGCATCGAATGCCATTTGTCAAGGGTTCTTTTATACAGGACCATAGTTTTTTGTCCCTAGGGTTCATGCCTTCATTCATTTATATTTTATTTCAGGTGTTATAAAAGTAGCTGATAGTCTAGATAGAGAAGCACTGTCTCGACATATTTTAACTGTTATGGTGAATGATCTTGGTACTCCAACAAAACGTAGCTATGCTAGAGTCAAGATAACAGTACTGGATCACAATGATCATAATCCTGAATTCCTGTCATCAGTATTCTCTGGAAGAGTTTATGAGACGTCTGCTGTAGGCACGTCTGTCGTTGAGTTGATAGCAACAGATAAAGACAAGGGAGATAATGCTGAAATAACTTATACTATTATAGCAGGTGAATATATTACATGTTAAAAGATAATAATATTTTTGATACAATATCAACAGTTTGTAAACAAATTGGTTTCAAAATATAGCTTGATGTTCTGAATATAAAATTGATTTTAAAAATATCGATTTCCGCCTAATTTAGCCTGCATCCACCAACTAACCAGGGTATAATGACTTCATAAATACGTCTTCAATAACATAGAATTGTGTTTCCAATGATGTTTTATTTTCGCAGGTAATGCTGGAGGAACTTTTAGTTTGGACGGTAAACTTGGTCTGGTTTCAGTTGCTAAGGAACTGAATAGACATAATCAGGAAGGATATCAGTTAACTGTTTCTGCTACTGATCATGGCATTCCACCACGCTCCAGTACAGCTACTGTCAATATTCATGTAACAATTTCAAACAATTCCCCACCTAAATTTTCCAAAAAAGAATATATGGCTGAATTGGAAGAGAACCAACCAATAGGATCCATTGTCTTAGCTCTTCAAGCCGTTAGCCAATCATCTATAGTGTACCATATAATTCCAAGTCAAGCAGACGCATTCTTCACCATTAATCCAAATTCTGGTGTTATCTCTTCAAGAAGAGAAATTGACTATGAAAAGAATCAATTCTTTAATTTTACTGTGACCGCTACAAATATGGTAGAGGCTAAATCAGAAGTCAGTATTGTCATCCACATTTTGGATATAAATGACAATCACCCAGTCTTCCTGAAGAGTGTATATATTGGAGAAATCCGGGAATCGGCTCCTATTAACAGCCTAGTCACAGATAAAGCCAAATCTCCACTGGTTGTTCAAGCTAAAGATGATGATTATGATGCTAATGCTCTTCTGCGATATGAAATTAGTGATAATGAAGCTAAAAATTACTTCACTATTGACCTAAATACTGGAACTCTTCGTACAATCACAGGTTTAGATCATGAAACTATCAGTTTGTTTAATTTCACCATCCATGTTTATGATGGCGGCAAACCATCCCTCCAGGCTAACACACCAGCAACAGTTATTATTAATGTTCTGGATGTAAATGATTCTCCTCCACGATTTCCAACTCATACCCACATGGCTAAAGTTTTGTTACCGACATATAAAGATATCACTGTGATAGAACTGAAAGCCTCAGACCCAGACGGACAAGAGAATGATATACTAACCTATAGCATTGTGGGAGGTAATGATAGAAATAAGTTTGCCATTAATCCACAAACGGGCGTGATCATAATTCAAGATGAAACCAACATGAATCCAAACTACAACTTAAGAGTAATGGTCAGTGATGGCAAGTTTCAAACCACCGCCAATATTTTTGTGACGGTGGAGAACTCAGTTGATAGTGGACTCAAATTTACTCAAGACAGATACACAGTTCATCACGGAGAAAATTTGAAGAAAATAGAATCTCTGATTATTGTTCAACCAGTCGGCCATTCTATAAACGAACATTTCACATTCCATCTACTCAATAATCAAGATAAGTTTACTGTCGGACTAACGTCTGGTGTGGTTTATACAAAAGGTGTGGCGTTTGATCGTGAATTAAAAGATAATTATACAGTGGTAGTAGCAGTAGAAGATTCACAGACACCACCACGTTATGCTCATGTAGTAGTTAATGTATTAATTAATGATGAGAATGATAATACACCAATGTTTTTAAATCAGCCATATTATTCGGCTGTTTCTGTTGAATCTAAAGAAGGAGATGTCATTAAAAAGGTGAGTGATTTTGTAATGGATGTACAATTCTGCTATGTTGATTGATTGTGGGTTAGAGGCTACATGAGATGCACGCGCAGCTAAATGATCATTAGCATGCAGCTTTTTGAACTGAAAGGACGTGTTCCTTTCTCACAAAAGTTTTTTGTAGCGTTTTAGGTTGCCACTGGCTCTCTTTAATGTAATTAATTAATAATTTAAACCTTTACTCCCATTTGGGGTGTGAAAATAACATTTTACTATGCAACTTTATCAAACATACATGCACATTACTTTATATACTTTTGTGAAATGGGTCCCAGCACTTGTAGGAATAAAACAAGTGTCTTTGTTCAATATTTTAAATTATCACTAAATATTTTATCCATTCGTGCCACAAAATTAATATTTTAGTAATGATGAAAAGTTAATAAGATTGAGAAAAAGGCTTATCCATTTAATGAGGTTAATATTGATTCTTTGAAAACTGTATTAACTAAAGTCAATATGACTATTAGCACCTTTTTGGTAAATAAGTTAGTTTATTTGTGGAAGTTATATAACTTATAGAAAATATGATATGTTATGTAATATATATTACAGGTAATGGCTATAGATAAAGATATAGGAGAGAATGGTAGAATAACCTATAGATTAATTAGAAGTAAAACAGATAAATTCGCTATAAATCAATATACAGGTGAAATAGTTGTACAAAAATTAACTATTGATGATGAAAACAGTGTGGTTATGTTAACAGTTGAAGCTCGGGATAATGGTAAATATATGATTACACATTAAAGCCCAACCCACACTATTATATAAAGCAAAATATGTATATCTTGATATTTTACAAATGATGTTACAAAACAGAAATGTGTCTTTAGATCAGTTTAAATCATATTTAAAACATGAATTTCTTGTTCATTTTAACTTCTTCTTTAACAGTACAAATCTATAATGAAATCTGTGATAAAATGGATTCCTGCTCAATTTATAAAAATCGAAATAATTTCTTCATTTTATTTGTGAAAATGAATATGGTATGTAAAAGAAAATGATTGTATTTGAATTTTGTTGTAGGAAATCCATCTCGTCAGGCTGAAGCTGTAGTACCTATAAATATAGTTAGTAGTTATAGTCCTATGTTTGATAAACAGTTCTATAATATAAGTGTATCAGAGAATATAGGTTTATATACACCAGTTACTAGTATACATGCTGTTAATCCTACCAGTAAAAAACTTATATACTCTATCAATAATGGTAATGATCAAGGAGCTTTTGCTGTCGATTTCAATACAGGTAATTATCTTTTTTCAATTCTATTATTGGGTTTATTTTTCAGCAGGGCTGGCAAAGACGACAAAATTTTATTGACCACATAATGATAAATATTTTGTTCCATAGGAAGATTTGCAATGGAGCACCATTCAAAAGTCTTGTTCCCCTTGCTGCGACCATCTCATCATGGCACTTCATACAATGACAGACATCTTACTCATAGCACAATATCCTAAAACAGTATTCTAAAACATAACTGTGGGCAAATTTTGTTTAAATCCATCCAAAGTTATTAACACAAGTTACCGATTTTCTCCTCAGTTAAAGTTTGCAGCATTTGAGATTGATAAATTATATTTTTAGATGTTTATTTGAATGATTTTATAGGTTTGATATCAGTAATGGGTGAATTAGATTATGAAACAAAGAAAGAAGATAATCTTACATTGAGAGCTACTGATGTTTATACTGGAAATTATGCTGAAACTAGAGTTCTGTTATATCTGAAGGTAGTTAAACTCTTTAATATCACAATCAGTTGATCAGCCAAGTTGAGCCACATCTCATTAATTCAGTTATTTCTGCTTATATAATAGATAATTTGACTGTACAGATAGCATTTGTTACTGGACTGGGATATGTTTTACATCTGTCCGTGCTACACTTAAAAAAAAAAAAAGACTTTTTTTTCCCATTTTGTCCATTAACAATTGATTTATACTATTCTTAATGATGATATATTTTGTGGCACTCCACTGTTTTAGCTCTCATTGATATATTAGTTATCAGTTGATCATTAGCTTGATAAAATTGCTAATCAATCTATGAATTATCAATTTATTTTACAGGATGTTAATGATAATGCTCCAGTGTTTAAATCAATGATTTACACAGACGCTGTTTCAGAAGCTCTAATGGTTGGATCCTCCATTTTAACCGTCTCGGCAGACGATGCAGATTCTGGCATGAACAAAATAATAAGTTACAGTCTGGCACCAAATGAGATGCACAGCCACGATGTTGATCATTTTCATATCAACTATGGAACTGGTGACATATTCCTTCATAAAAAATTAGATTCAGAAATACAGAAAGATTTCCGTTTTTTAGCTGTTGCTACAGATGCAGGCATGCCAGCGTTAAGCTCAACTGCACTAGTTCACATTATGGTTTTAGATACTAACGACAATGCTCCTAAATTTACTCAGATATCCTATGATTGTAAAATAACTGATCAAGCTCAACGTGGACAGCTAGTTACACGATTATTAGCCATAGATGACGACACAACAGACGCCAACAACTTAGTTTATTCTATTGTCGGTGGCAACGAGAAGCAGACATTCTCTATTCATTCATCATCTGGATTGGTCAGTGTTTCGGAACAGAGGAAACCCATATTTCAACCAATTCATACTCTTAATGTATCTGTAACCGACACAGTTTATACTTCATACACAAGACTCACTATAACAGTAGTAAACACCAACAAGATCACTCCTCATTTCTCTCAACTTGATTATAATGTTGAATTCTCTGAGAATCAAGCTGTAGGTAGTCTTGTGGGTGTGGTGTCAGCTGATGACGAAGATCGAGGAGATTATGGATTGTTGACATACACTATTGTCAGTGATGTCATGAAAGAAATATTTCAAATAGATGCTGACACAGGTACTTGACTAAACAATAAACTTACTTTTGTTCTTTTTTATATTCTCAACTTATAAATATCCAAGATTAAAAGAGTTGAACCTCTGTGATTAAGATTAAAAGAAAGATTGAATTGGGTTGGTCTATTATATGATATATTTTCATTTCAAAGGATTAGTAGAAGTCAGTTTGTTTACTAGTTTAGTTTTTGTATTAAACTGTCAACTTTTTCGGACATATTTTTTTTAATTTACACAGATTATTTCTAATGTTTATTAATACCACATGGACTAATTTAATTATATTGGCAAGAGGTCTCATCCTGAATGAGCATTGGTTTATCTGATAATATACTGTATACATTTTGATTAAAGAATGTTTGTGTCATATTGTTATGTATGTTTTAGGTGAAGTATTTAGTAAATCTATATTAGATAGAGAAGACAGAAGTAAATATGATGTATCTATAGCAGCAACTGATAATGGTGGAAAGATGAACTATACAACTTTACATATCACTGTTACAGATGAAAATGATAATCTACCATTATTTATTATCAAAGAATATATGGCAAATGTTTATTCTGATGCCCCTATTGATACTGAGATATTAAAGGTAATAACTAATATGAAAAATCATTTCAAGTAGAGCATGGAAGACTCCTCTTAACTTCCAAAAATTACTTATACCTATAGACAGACAAAACGTACAAAAATCATTTTAAAAAAACATAGAAATTTACAGAAATGACATCTGATAGTTCTTAATGACTTTAAAAAATGCTTTTGCATGCTTTGAAGGCTAAAGTTAATGTCTGATTTGCTTAAATTTTGTGCACAATGTTTATAAGATTAAGTAGTGTAATTATTTTCAACAATTTGCTCTTTTTACCTTGATCACTTAATTACTTCTTGCATACTTTTAATGTCATGCAAAGAATCTAGTTACCTAAAAAATAAATCACAATGGCAAAACCATTTGCTCAGGCTTTTTAGCTGTCTTGAGTGTATGTAGGCCTATTGTTACCTTGCAATCTATTTGTTTATATTTATATTTAAATAATTGAATTTATAGATACAAGCTGTAGATTTAGATGAAGGATCTAATGGTAATATTATATATAGTATATATCAAGAAGATGATCCTGATATAAGTAATATATTTACTATAAATAGTCATACTGGTAGTCTTACAGTTAAATCTACTCTTATAGAAAAAGGTGAGAGTTATATTTATAGTTCTATTTAGATAAGATTTTAATAATCTTATTTCATCTAAAGTAGGCTACATTATGGGGAGGGTTGTGTATGGGTATAGAAATTACCTACATGTAACGATTTAAGTGAGATATTTTGTAGAAGAACATTTTGATTTTAACTAGAATTATGTTCAATTTGTTGTGTTTCACAATGTGACACCAATGTTGTAATATATAACAAAGGCTTTATCAGGTCATCTTTTAACGATTCCTTATGACTAACTTACATAATGGTAATTATCATATGTGGGGAAAGATATATCAGTTATAAACAGATGAAAGGAAAGTTTGTTCCAGTGATATTAATTTTCATTTTGGTTCCCTTTCAGAAAATGCTGTTTATCAGTTCTTTATAAGAGCTAAAGATGAAGGTGGTTTACCGTTAAAAAATCACGTACCTGTCGAAATCCTTATCTTGGGACACGAAGAAACACCCCCAAGTTTTGATCAACCAAACTATGCCTTCTTTATTGGTGAAAATGCAAAAGTGGGGAATACTATTGCAACATTGAAAGCAGAGGGTGTGGGTTTAATTTACAGTATTGTAGCTGGAAACACTAAAGCTACTAATGTTCCACCAAAATTTAGCATTAATGAATCCGGACAAATAAACATCATAGAAGAATTAGATCGAGAAACTGTCGATACCTTCACACTCACAGTCCGTGCAGAAACACAGACCTCTCCAGCATTGGTTGGAAACACAGAAGTTGTTATTAAATTAAGGGATGTAAATGATAATGTACCAATCATCCAATCAAATCCATACTTTATAACTGTAGTAGAAAATACAGTACCTGGTACACGTCTGCTTCAAGTCAAAGCAGACGACAAAGATGAAGAAAGTTATTTGGAATATAGGTTTGGTCCTGCTACTGCTGAAATAACTAATGTTTTCAGTATAGATGCCGAATCGGGCTGGATAACGTCACTAACATTACTAGACCGAGAAGAACAGGATGAATATAATATCACGATTATTGTCATAGATAAGGTTGGAGAGATAACTCATACTGCTACTTCCTTTGTAATTATAACAGTTACAGATTTTAATGACAACCCTCCCAAATTTGAACGTTCACAATATAAATCATCAGTGAATGAAGATGCTGAAGCAGATATCATATTTTTGTCTGTAAAAGCCACAGATATTGATTTTGGACAAAATTCAGAAATAACATACTACATCGTGAATGGAGATAAACTTGGTCAATTTGATGTCAATAGAAATGGAGATGTGTTTGTGACTAAGAGATCATTAGATCGTGAAAGTAAACATCATTATGGTTTAACTATTGCTGCTACTGATGGAGCATTTGTCAGCTATTCAACAGTAGAAATAGATATACTAGATGCTAATGACAATACACCTGTATGTACAAAGGTAAACATTCTTCGGTAATTTTTTGATGAGAAATCATAAAAATCTAAATACATCAAAAATACATCTTATATATAGGTTCTAATAATAAGTGCAGGGGGTCTGCAGCTCACATAATTACACAAAACAAATCTACAGACAAGACACAATACGCAGAAATCACAAACAAACGTACATTTCAGATTAAGTGAATGAATCTGGGGGCTAGCCATAAGTGTCCACTGCTGTAGTCATACAGACTTCACTAAAAATTGAAAAACAATCAGGAATATAACCCAGAGAAAAACATTGTGTAATACTGGTCATGATCTGCTATATGCCACATGAAATATGAATATAAGCATATTGAAGTAAAAAATTACCTATGAAAGTAACCATATATTGGTGAAATGTATAAAAAAGCCAGGTAGTCTAAAACTAAATGGTCTATCTTATAGTGAGAAGCATTTTTAAGTGTTCAAAAGAATTGAGGTATATTGACTTTAAAGTTAGGGCATATGTTCCATTTACCACAAAATTGGTCATAAATTTATGCCTTATTTGAAACCAATATAATTAATTGGTTGTAATTAATGTAATATTTGAATGTGATAATATTATTTTGCAGTTGATGTATGTAATATTTGAACAAGAAGATGTACCTGTTGGTTATAAAATTAAATCTGAACAAATACAAGCTACTGATGCTGATGATCCTGAAACACGCAACTCACATATAGAATACTTTCTATTAGGTGATGGTGCAGATTCTTTTGATCTGGATAAAACTACAGGTAAATAAATTAACACTTTATCTTTTCAGTGAGTATGATCTGGATATAAGAGGCCGACATGATAATATTGGGATTATCTATAGTCTTAATCACTTGAGCATCAATTACTACAAAGTGTGTGGAGTCAAATATCGTACAGAGATTTACGATTGTTTTGGAAATACAGATGTCCTTAAATTTTGTTTGAAGTATACTGAATGAGTTTTTAACTGGTGGATTGAGGCAACATTTTCCATAAGTTATTAAATAAACTGTGAACACTACTTTGTCCAGATCAATATAAACTTTAGAAAATCTTAATCTTTTCACTTATGTGTATTGTATTGACTGGTCACGGTGGCTAAGTGGGTAAGACGCTGGCTCGCTAGCCTGGAGGTCGGGTGTTCGATCCCTGCATTGGCCGAGAAAGTTCATCCAGATTTTCCTGCGTGGTTCCCCCTTGTCAGTGATGCAGGACGAATGCCCTGACAAGGACAGCTGTCTAGTCATTCGGATGACATGAAAAACCGAGGTCCCGTGTACATATTGGCGTGGATGTAAAAGATCCCTTGACAGTTGGAATTCGATATAAGAGTAGGCCGTAGTGCCGCTGTCTGGGCAAAATTTCCCTCATAGCACACTGTATGGCGTATGCCCGTCTTCATTTGCCCATTTCAGAGCAAAACAGTAGGATGTTAGAACCCATTTCATTTCATTTTTTGGTAAGGCATGAAAGTTATTATAAAAAAAAGGAGACAGACCACTGTCTTAATCTTTTATAGAGTAAAATACTAATGATTTCTGTACGTCAAAATTACTTTCCCAAAAAGATAGAAATTGAATTGTTGACATTGAAATATATTTCAGGAACTTTAACAACAGCTAAAGAACTAGATCGTGAAACACAAGATAAATATTATCTATTAGCTAAAGCTGTAGATGGTGGTGGTCTATCCTGCACATCTGAAGTTAACATCTATATTAATGATGTCAATGATAATGCACCTGAGTTTACATTAACCGAGAATATATTTAGTATACACGAAGATGCTAGAATTAATACATTAGTTACAAGAGTTACAGCTACTGATAAAGATATAGGTATGTTTTACACTATATTTATATACCATTTGAAATATCAGGTTTATAAATTTAAATGTGTCTTTGATATGGATGTTCCAATCAAAATGCAATCTCTCATATCTCAGGCTTGTGGTAAGGTATCATTTAAGGCACTAATATTGCACGTTATACCCTATGTTGCAGAACGAGTGTCAAGATATGTCTTGTCACCTGCAAGAATTCAAAATAAAATCTTGATAATATTTCAAGGTATCATTTAAGGCACTAATATTGCACGTTATACCCTATGTTGCAGAACGAGTGTCAAGATATGTCTTGTCACCTGCAAGAATTCAAAATAAAATCTTGATAATATTTCAAAATAATTTAGATCTCTTCATAATCTCATTCCTCCAATGATTTATTTAATATGTGTGTAATATGATTTATTGATTTATTTTAAACAGGTGTCAATAGAAAGATTATCTATGGTATTGTTGGTGAAGCTAAAACAATATTTAATATAGATTCTAACAGTGGTGTTATTAGTCTTATTAGACCATTAGATAGAGAAGTCAATGCTGAACATAATATTACAGTTACAGCCAAAAATCTGGTACATATTTCTTTTAATTTATCAGTATTGATACATATCATAATTCCAAACTACTAAACCCAGATCATAACTTTGATTACATGTCGTTACTGATAATTTTATAAAACTTCGGATCAAATGTAGTTAATTTCCTGTTTGTGATAGTTATCCTTAAGTCATTGTTTATATAATGCAGTTTAACAACTTACATTTGCATTGTTGTGGTATTGGTTGATTTATCAATTAACGATTTATTTATTAAAAAAGTTATGGATAGTGGCTACTGTATACCATTACATGTATTAATGAAAAATGACTAAAATTTACAGTTTTTGGTGGCTTTTGAGTGAGATGCAGGGTTTGATGAAGTGTAATGGCTTGATATGTTGTATATTTACAGGGTCCACAACCTCTGTTTACATCAACTGTATTACGAGTGTTAGTACTAGATGTTAATGATAATGAACCTGAGTTTGAGAGAACAAGTTATTATGTAATGGTAGAAGAGAATTCATCATTATCAACTAGTATTATACAAGTAACAGCATCTAGTTTAGATATAGGACAGAATGCTAATATAACATATTCTATAGTTGCTGGTAATGAACAGAATAAATTCTCTATACATAGTGCAACAGGTTAGTTATTAACACCTTGTTTATCAGCCATTTTCTGGCATTAAAAATGTCCGACTGCCTGTCAATGAATTTACAAAATTTTGGATTTAAAATCAAATGTAGTTAGTACCACAGAAATTTATTAGGCTTGTCAACAGGCAATATACAAGAGACTAAATCTGCCTATTGCAGGTCTTTCTTTAGGCCTTAAATGTTATATAAACTATTAGTTAGACGTTTATTAACATGACAAGATCATAATCAAGTCTCAATGCCATTGAATAGGTCCGATTTTAAGTAGATTAGAACGGTTCAGCCATTTAATGATTTAATCTAAATATGTTGAAGAGAGGCTAAGCTTTGAACAACCAGGATATCAAAGAGAATGAGCAAGCAGACTTGGCTGCCAAACCTGCTTTAGATCTTCCAATATTTTATATACCTTTTAAGGATTTTAAATCCATTATAAATACATTTATTTATAGCAATGGTCTTGGGATCTTGCAGGCACAAATAAACTTCATCACATTAAGCCTCTCTTAGGAGACTGGCCAAGAATGAAATTTTTAATGTATTCATTTTGCATTATCTATTTTTAAACTATTATAGAAAGAATGGCCAGCACTTAATCTAAATCTTACATAATGTATATTTACGGTTACAGATAGGGATAGGGTCATGCCCTGTAAATAACCTGAGTAGAAATGACCGACTCTGCTTTTATCCCTTATCTATTGTTTCAACGATGTTTTTGAGAATGATAGCCTTAGTTCCGTTCAAGTTGGAAGGGAAAACGCCAATAAAGAATAAAACATCCAGGATATCAGATAATTTATTTTTCTCATGGAGAAATTTAAAAATGATCTTGTCTACAAAATGTCAACATGGTTTAAAATGTTTAATCTAGTTTCTTGCTGATTAACTTTATATTATGTATGTTTATGTTGTATTTTTAGGTGTGGTGAATGTTAATGAACCGTTAGATTATGAGTTGTCAAGAGAATATTTTATCACAATATTAGCTAGAGATCATGGTACACCTCCATTGAGTAACACAGCTATTATTAATATCAATATTACTGATATCAATGATAACAAACCAAGATTTTCACAGACATCATATAGTATTTCTATTAGAGAAGATATGCCTGCTGGTGTTGAAGTCATGAAAGTAAGAATTTATTCCCCATTATATTAATGTTATTGTTTAGGATTTATTGCTTCGTTTCTATAGTAACAAATTGCTCTACTGAATGGCAATTAGTGAAGTGAAAATGTTCATAAAGATAATTTTAAAAGATTTGTATTAATTTGAATTTTCTATACTGTTTTCATTTCTAAGACACCACTTGCCACCATTAATCAATTTTAATGTTACCTCTTGAGAGGTTACAGAGAAAACTTGGAGCATTAGATTTAGAAAATATTAATTTCTTTAATGTATTGTAATTTGAACCTGGTTTGTTTGTTAGATTATAGCTACAGATGATGATGGTGAATTAAATAATAAATTAACATATAGAATAGCTACTGGTGATCCATATGATCAGTTCTCTATAAACCATCAAAATGGTTCTCTACTTATACAGAAGGAACTAGACAGAGAAATGGTGAGATTACATTAGAACTAAGTTTGTTGGCAATTATATTATTTATACTTCTTTCTGCAGAATAAGCTAAATTAAATTTTATCATTTTAAATTATAATCAAATATGGGCTAAAATTTGTTATTCTCATTAAGTTGATCAAAACAAATGATATATAATGAAAATTCAAAGTGCAAATGGTTTCTTTATAATAATCTTAACCCATTACTAATTACTACTGGTTGGGCGTAGATGTGAATATCGACTACCATGGGTTCTGTCAACTTTTTAAGAGAAAAGGGATTTTTTTTACATTGAATTTTGAAATTGATTTTCTCTAAACCACTTCCACCTCACTCTGCTTAAAACTCAGAACTAGTATACAGTCCTTAAATAGTTAACAGCTATTCATGTACTTTGGTGGTTTACAACCTTGAATTTGGTCTTAATTAAAACCTGTCTTATTTTGTAGATTCAGACTTATATACTAGAAATAGAAGTAAGAGATTCTGGTATGCCGGTATTATCAAGTTCTACATTAGTAAATATTATAGTACTTGATGCTAATGATAATGCTCCATTATTTGCACAACCAAATTATACAGCTTATATACAGGTATGTTTTAATCTTATGTACATATTAGTTTCCCACTTCAGTTATTACGGATATTATGTTTATAAGACTTGTTTTTGATTGAAAATTAAGAAAAGACAATTATGATCAATATTGTCAGTTTTTGGTTTAAGATATTAATAGAGTATATGAGCTTTCAGACCAAAAAAATGACCAAAAATTGTCAACTATCATAAGTGACTATGATTTCAAACAATTCAGGGGAGGTTATTCTTCTTAGCTTGTTTTGTTTGATGTTCCAGGATGTGTGACCTAACCTGAAATTACATAAATAGTAGAGTATAGGTTAATAAGTAGGTTCATAATACTGAAGTTATAAAAACATGTGACATTCATATTAATTATAATAATAACATGACAAAAAAAATTCCTAAGTCATCTTTTAACATTTTATTGAACGTGAGCTACATGTAAAGTCTTGTTTCCAGGGTCAATCTTACTGTACCCTTTAAGATGCATTTATTTTAAAAATTTCAACAATTTAGCATGGCCCAGTACAAGTAGATTGATTAAGATCTGTCTTGAAGTATTGATTATATGTCTTGAAGTATTGAATTCATTTTCATGCTTTAACCTCTTTTAAGACAAGCATGTGCTTACAATCACAATGATAAAAACATCTTTTCAGCTGAACTGTTTCCATTTCTGACAAGTACATGTAGCATAGTTCTACTAATTATCTTAATTAGATATCTCAGGGAATCCTTGAAATTTGCTGCAATTTGAGGTGGCCATTTGCTTTAAAATTTAATGCTTTTATATTAAATGAATTTAATAAAGCCCACTATTATTATTATTATTATCAGCTAGCACAATTAGTAAGTATACACAGAAATGCATGGATATAGATATTACAGGGAATATTTCTGTTTGACCGTAAAACATAGAATTTCTTTTGTGATATTTTTTTATTAATATTTTGATATTATGCATCACATGTTGTTTTTAGCTGAACTTTTATTTTAATTATCTAATTTGCATATTTGATTTTTTTGTTTGTTATTAAATCGCATGAAGATAAACAAGAGAAAGAATATTTATTGCATTTAATTCCATACAAACTAACCTTATCATTGTATTTGGCAACTTATGTAGGAAAGCATTACATACTGAATTCTGATTTTTTTGTGGGGTCAAGTCAGGATGTCATGCAGGGTATGCTTACTGTTTCCAGAAGACCTGGCCCCGAGTTCACAAACCATTCTCAAATATAAGTTGAGAATTTGCTCAATTTTCAATCACTGTTTATGAGAAATATCTTTGATTCAGAAACACAAAACTTTGCACATAGTTTATTATTGATGTATCTGATACATTCAAACAACAAAATTATTATAAAGGGCTATATTTTAGTTAAAATAAGGTGAACAAGTTTGAGTAAATTCTCAACTTAAGTCTGAGAATGTTTTGTAAACTTGGGGCCTGATATGACTTGTCACTGAGTTCATCTATGATAGAGCGGTCCTTGATAGGTTCATTTAGTTCACAGTTTTGTTTTCATCCTGATATTTTGAATATATTCCTGTACTTCTAGTGAATTGTTTTAATGTCATTTTGAACTGCTTTACCACTCACCTGGAAGTTTTGTGTTTTTGTTGGGACAGTTAATGATACACTGTCTATTAGAATCAGATTCAATGAGTAGCTCACACGTTCCAACAAGACATAATTTGAGCACTTTAGATTTGCATACTTCCATTTTATTTCTCATGTTTGATGTCTGAATGTATTTTATGTTTCAATGTTTAGATCTAGTCGTAGAAAAAGATTTTTGTATCCTTTATTTAATATATATAGGTGTGTATAGTAATTGGACATAGTGTACTGTTATATGTTACCTAGCGACACATAAAGTACATGTAGGCCTATCTTCTTTCTTTATAACAGTTTATAAACATCTTTATACTGTATCACTCACCACCTAGAACTTGAACTTGGAAAAGAAAAGTTGAAATAATATTTTTAACTATTTATCCTGCAAGCTATTCAACAGGGTTTTTTTTAAAGTTACCCTCAAAATAATGTAAAAAATCTGTGTGCAGAACTTTTTTTACTACTTCAATTCAACCAGACTTTTTTAAACAGACTTACTTGATAGCCAATATGATAATCTGACCTGATATTGTGTAAATGTGACAAAAGATTTGAATGATAGTTAAGTCTGATTCACAATTTTAGAAAATACTATCAAATTGTACATTATTGATAACCATCTGAAAAGTAGGAATATTTGTTATTTTCTTGTTGTTTCTTGAGCATGTTATAACGTTCTATAAATGTATGTATATTGTTGATAGGTGGCATTTAACTCGTTACCTAAATGTTTTATAGTGTATAGTTTAAAACAAGGATACTAGTAACATTGATAGTCAAGAGAGGGAGAGATTCAAGGAGCTAAACCTCTAACTCTAATACTTGAAATTAGAAACACACATTAAAATTTGATATTGGTCCATTTCAATCAATATTGATGTTGTTATCTTGTCGTGAAAATATGGGATCCTAATATCCTGATATTTAAGACATAATTAACATTTTGAAATCAGTACATAAGTCGTGTATTTCTATGATTTCGGATGCCATTTGTAATGTACAAAGACAATGCAGAAGTAATTAGTAATGGCTGATTCACAAACAACAAAAAAAATGATTTTAAAAAAATGTTCAATTTGGACTTTTCAGGTATTTCGCTTAAGATAATTGAATATAAATTACAATAAGAATTTAAAAAATTAAATATAAATCACTTTCTATACATTCATATTACATTGATATGTCTTTACGACCCATTTTTGTCCCCACTCCCCCGCCTTTCGAAGAAAGCAGGGGACTATTAAAATAGGTCTGTCCATCTGTCACACTTTTTGGGACACAATAACTCTCCTTGGGCTAGAATGTTCAAACTTGGTGTAGGTGTTTGTTAGGTGAATGCCTTGATGGAGTTCGAAGATGAGCATTTTCTAAGGTAAGCAGAGATGATTAGCAATTTGATTGGTTGATGCTTTGTTACACGATAACTTTAGTTCTAATTAAGTGAGAGTGATGAAACTTGGTTTGATAATGAGCATTTTTCGGCTGAGGTTAAGCAGAGCGATAAACGGTTTGATTGGTCAAGACTTTGGAGCTCGACAACTTTGATTCTAATTGAGTGATAGTGGTGAAACTTGGTGTAGGTGTCTGTTAGATGAATGCCTTGACAGAGTTCGATCATACACATTTTCCACTAAGGCTAAGCAGCAATAAGCAATTTGATTGGTTGAGACTTATGAACATGTTAATTTTGATTCTAATGGGTTGAGAGCGATGAAACTCGGAATTATAGATTCTTTATATCAGTACCTTGGCTAAGTTTGATGATGAACATTTTCTGCTTAGGCTAAGTAGCGATAAGCAATTTGATAGGTCAAGACTTTGGAACATAACAACTCTGCTTTTGATTGAGGTAGAATATTTAAATTTGATGTAGATGTTCATAAGGTGAATGTCTTGACTGAGTTCAATGATTAACATTTCCCGCTAAAGCTAAGCAGAATTAAGCAATTTCATTAGTCAATGCTTTGGGACAAGATAACTTTGATTCTATCTGATAGAGTGATGAAACTTAGTTTGATCTTGAACATTTTATACTTAGACTAAGTATAGATAATCAGTTTGAACGCTCGATACTTTTGATGAAGATAAATGTGCAATTAATTAATAATATGTGTCATCTATTTATTTTGAGATTTCAGTGGGGGGACATCAACCGCATTGTTGGCTTGTCTATTTTATAGGTTCCAAATAATAGACATATCTGACAGCTTCAATATATCCATGTCAGGAAAATGATTTACTGATTTCTACTGATAAAAAACATAACTTTCACATAAGTTTTATGATGACATTCATTTGAAAAAAAATAATTTTTATTATACGCCTACATTTTTATGTGGACGTATATTGTCATCACTCCTGTCCTTCCGTCCTTCTACAAATTGTTTGTGGATAGTCTACGGGTCACAATATAGGTTTATTTCCCAAAGATCTCATTTCCTTTTGATATTGGCATATTCATGGATTATGGCTCCTGATTGTACGAAAAATCATGTTTTTAGCATGTGGACACTCTAGAGGTAACATTTGGTATCCAATTTTGATGAAACTTGAAACATATGTTTAAAACCTCAAGATCTCAGTTCCTTTCCATATTTGCACTTATCAGACCTTAATTTCCTGGATTATCGCCCCTAATTGTACAAAAGTCGTGTTTTTAGCTAGTGGTTTCTCTAGAGGTCACAATTTGAAACTAATTTAAAATAACATTCGAATATATCACCGTTACGCCATAATGACAGTTGAGTTTGAATTTCATGAAAATTGGATCGAAACTGCCGGACAAAATGGCCACCCCATATACGCAAACAATGTTAAAGTGTGTAATATCAAGGTTGATCCGATTTTAATGAAACTTAAAACATGCGTTTATATCACAAAGATCTTGGTTCCTTTTCATATTCGTGCATATCGAACCATAACTTCCTGGATTATAACCCCTGATTGTACGAAAAAATAGAGGTCGTAATTTTTATCCATTTTTAAAAATTGTTAAATATATCAGTCTGGAGGCTCAGCATGGGGGGTAGGGGTGTCCATCAAATGGGAACAAAACCAGACCCAACTTTTCTAGAGTAAAATTTTTCGTAGAATACGATGCCGAGTGGTAATCAGTTCGCCGATGGGGCGTTTTCGATATTTGTGCATTTCAGACCATTATTTACGGAATTGTGGCCCGTGATTGTACGAAAAATCCCATTTTTAGCTTGTGAACCCTCTAGAGGTCACAATTTTATCCAATTTTAAAAACCATTTAAATATATCACCGCTGCACCGTAATGAAAGTTAAGATCAAATTTTGGGAAAATCAAAATGAAACTGGCCAACAAAATGGCTGCTCATTGTACACAAATTCTGTAAATGTATGTAATAAGAAGGTTGTGGACCCTCTAGAGGTCACAATTTTTGTCCGATTTTGATGAAACTTAAAATATATGTTTATATACAGAGATCTCAGTTCCTTTCGATATTCGCTCATTTCAGACCATTACTTACTGGATTATGGCCCCTGATTCTACGAAAAATCACATTTTTTTTTAGCTTGTTCTCTATCCATCTCTTGCAAAATGTGGGCTTATTTTGCATGGCAACTGCTTGTTTTCAAGGACGTAGAAAAAGTAACCTTCAGATGAATTACACATATATCAATCAAAGTTCAGAAATTGATATGTGTATAAATGAAATGGATTATGTGAGAATTATTGTTGTTTATAATTCTGTTGAAAATGAAGGAAGTTACACTTGTTACACATCATCATACTTGGACTAACATAAAAATCTTGACCTGTTTATTTATACTAATTCTCTACTCACACTATTCATACTGTCTTATAAACTATAAAACATTTCATCTGGTTAATTGTAATTCTGTTGCTCCAGAAAATCTGCATTTAGACTATAGAAATCATATGTGACCTGTATCTGTCAGTGTTGTCAAGCTCTTCCATCTCACTTTATGACACGTGTAGAGTTTGTTCATTTCACCTTTCTGAACTTTAGTAAATATATAATAAATCTGCCGCTGACTGGCTTGATGAAATTGTTTATTAGTCATGCAATATTCTTATTAGGATATGTAAATTTAACAAATTCCTTTTTCACCCAATTTATCATATTTTAATTAAGATTTCTCATGTCACAACCGTTGCTTGCGTACAAAAATCACGTTTTTAGCTTGTGGTCCCTCTAAGAGGTCACAATTTTTATCTGATTTAAAAATTCATTCAAATATATCACCGTTACACCATAATAACGACCTGCCGAATAAAATGTCCGCTCTCGTACGCAAGTAGGTTGTGGACCCTTTTTTCACCCAATTTATCATATTTTAATTAAGATTTCTTATGTCACAACTATTGCTTGCGTATAAAAATCACGTTTTTAGCTTGTGGTCCTTCTAGAGGTCACAATTTTTATCTGATTTAAAAATCCATTCGAATATATCACTGTTAAACCATAATAACGACCTGCCGAAAAAAATGTCCGCTCCCCATATGCAAGTAGGTTGTGGACCCTGTAGAGTTTAGTTTGTTCTCAGTCCATCTCTTACAAATGTGGCGTATCTTACATGGCAACCATTTGTTGATATTATATAACATAAAGGAATAGTTAATTTAACAAAAGTTATAAGCATGGTATTTATCATATGGAAGTACTGTCTCTAACTCATTATATTATAGCTTGACAAAGTCTAAAATACTGGAGGGAGTTAATTTGATAATATTATTAATAAAGTTGAGTATTGATGAGTTGGAAATTGAAGTAGGTTAGTGTTATATACACTGCATTACTTAGACCTTTTGATTTATGAAACCAGATTGTTTGAAAACGTTAGGAACTTTTACAGGCTATGAAATAGATTTGTTTTAAAGTGGCCATTGAACTGTACATGTATTTTATTTATTGATTTTCTTTTGGGGATGATAATCATTAAATTGATTTTGTATTACTTCCAAGACAGTGAGCTTAAAATTTAAACTAAAAATAGTAAACAAGTTGTTTGGTTCTAGATCTTTCCGAACAATTTTTAAGAAAGTGAACACTTTCTAATGTCAAAATAGCCTTTTGTCTGATCTTCTGTTTTATATGAAGGTATATTTTTGTTAACATATCAGCACTAGTACTGACAGATATAAAGCCTGTTACTTGTAGTTATACTTGCATAATGTTAAACAAAAATCAACATGCAAATTGTTTTGTCTAATGGTGTTTTATTGTGTATTTAATGACAGACGCTTGTCTCAATATGTACATGGCCTGTATTGATATATTCGTACATTAGACTGAGGTAGATAAATTATTACGGTTATCAATCTGTTTATTATTTGTTTGCCCAACTGAAGTTATCTATCTGGACTTACAATGTATACATTCATATTCATGTATTTATAATGATAAGCGCCTGTGTATTTAACTAAAATGAAGATTAGAATAGATTAATATTTTCTTTTTATTGAACCAATATTCATATTTGATAATCATTCATTTTGTCCCAACATTTTAAACCCTCAGCTCAATTGTAATGACACATACAACAAACTACTTGAAATAACAATTTACTATAAGATCTTATTTTTATTTTATTGTTTTAGAATAGCATAATATTGTTTCAGGGTTATCATTGAGGTTCAAAATGAAATGGAAAAGAAAGGGGTTTAACATCATATTTTTATGTACTAACAGGGCATACGTCGGACAGTAATGTACAAGGGATATTTTGCTTTCTGCCCACTCTTCTTTGAATTCCAATTGTCAGGGGTTCTTTTGTTTACACACCAATGAGTACACTTGTGAACCTTGGTTTTTTCTACCATCCAAACGACTAGATGCTTTTTTCCTTGCACAGACCTCTGCCCAGAGCCACCATGACCCTCTATATTAAGGTCAGATCTGATCAACTTTGTTGGTGTATTTTCGTGTACTTGCAACTAAAGTGTAGTTTTTATTCTGTAGAATAATGATATGTCTACAAGATTGTAAGATTATTATATTTCTATATTACAGGAGGGTAGTAAAGCTGGAATACAAATCCTCAAACTGACTGTTACTGATGATGATGAGAGTGAAAATGGTGGCCCATTCTCTTTTGATATTATCAATGGTAATGATGGGAAAGAATTTCATATTAATGCTGATGGTGTGTTGTTAACGTCTGGTAATGAACTGAAGAAGAAGGTGAAGGAAATGTATACACTGACAGTTCGTGCCTTTGATAAAGGATCCCCAGTTTTATTTTCTGATGCACATATAGAAATTCATGTAGTAGATGAAAGCATGTATCCACCACAGGTTCGAAATCTTTCCATTTCTATTGGTTCGTACCTTGATAAATTTTTAGGAGGAGAAATTGGAAAAGTCGAAGCATTTGATTCTGATCCTTATGATGTACTCATTTACAACATTGTTTCTCCTAATCGTCATCTTTTTGAGATACACGAAGCTGATGGAAGGCTTTTAGCAAAACCAGGATTAGATGCAGGAACATATCAAGTTAATGTTAGTATTTCAGACGGCAAGTTTTTCTCCCACAGCCTTGTTAAAGTTGATGTAATGGCCATATCAGTAGAAATGATGGACAGCTCTGTTACCATTCAATTTGATAACATGTTTCCAGAACAGTTTTATGCCAGTTACATGAAAGACTTTAAAAGGGTCTTGAAGAAAGAGTTAAATGTCCGAGGCAAGGATATAGAAATCATCAATGTCCAGCCATCAAACAAAAGTATCTTAAAACGCACTCATAAAAGATCACTGAGTAACAACCTAGATGTTCTATTTTCTGTTAAAAAATCTACGGGTAAATACTTCAACAAAAACTCTTTAAGAAGGAAGGTAGAAAGAGCTAGGGATGCCATAGAAACTGGAATGAATGTTCGTGTAGAGAAAGTATTTAATGATATCTGTGTACGATCTATGTGTGAGACTGGTACCTGTGTCAGCCATCTTGTTTTTAATGATGATAATCTGATTCCTGTAACTGTTGGAGATGAAAGTTTTGTTTCTGCTACACATCGATATGTTTATTACTGTAATTGTACAGACGGTAAGTTATTAATGTTAACAGCTTAAAATAACAAGTTTGAATTGGATATTAATAATACTGAAGGTATTTTATACTTGAAACTTTGAAATTATGTATGACAGCCAGGGGGGGTATCTAGGAATTTGGAAGAGGTTCTGATCCCAAATTATTAAATCAAAGCTGGGCGAGCGGGGTAACGGGGCCCCATCTGAAAAACTAACTTGTACATTGCTGGAAATAGCATCGAGAGGGATTTAAGGCATAGATGGTAGTGTATTTAAAAGAGATTTGAGGCAGACTTGGAGATTGAGTCGGTGTGTTCTGCATTCTGATTTTACGATTTATAAATAAAGAGTAAGCATCTCTATCGTTGACTTTTGTCAGCATAGAATTTGGGCATAAAATAATTTGGGCGTCCCATACAGTTTCAGGAACCAAAATGGCCCTAGATACTACCCCAACAGTATGTCATAGTACTTCAATATATAACTCAACGGGTACATATTGCCTGTTTTTACTGTTTAACATTTTTCCAATCTTATATATGTTGTGTGCTAATGTTATTTCAGCATAAATTTTATTCTACAGATGATATTTATAATTGTGTTTTGTTACCAGTGTACAATGATGTAATTTCTAAATATATTTATACGACAGGAACATGTCTGGGTGTAGTTTGTGGTGATAAGAAATGTCCAGCTCATCAAGTTTGTCATAAAACCAACAATAATCGGTTTTCTTGTCGTTGTCCGGAGGGTAAAACTGGAGTAACATGTGCTGATAATCTACATCCTCTATCCGTCTGCTCAGATGCTAGTTGTAGTAAAGGTGGGTGAGAATTTTCTACAAATTGCGGGCATGCCTAATGTGTTAAAAATTGTCTAATACCATATTATAGAAAATTGACTAATACTGTATTATGAAATTGACTAATACTGTATTACAGAAAATTGACTAACTCACTCTATTACAGGAAAGAGGTTGTTCTGAATAATGATTTATATTCATAATTGTGTGCAAGTTTAATTTCTCGAAAGTGTGTTGTTTGTTAATCTGAATTCTTTAAATGACATTTAAAAGTAAGGTTAACTATTCACAACAAAACACAACACAGCGCAACACAAGGTATATATGGATATAACGTTGTTTTATACCTTGTGTTGTGTTTTGAATTGTTTGTTTGAAGTTTAATATGATATATTAGTGTGTCAGTGTTGGCATAATGTTGGATATAGTCCTGTACAAGAGATCATAATCTGTTAAGATGACACCTAGCCCGTTAGCTTTATGAAGTAGAATCAGGTTTAATGCACTATTTTTCTACACCAACTGAGCTAGTACAGATGAAACACTTATACACCAATACACCATGCAGTATGTCATGTTTTCAAACTTATCACAGGACAGTATCCTAATTTTAACAGTTCTAATATAAAGGATGTCTTGCATTCATTAGCCCAATTGGTGCAGAATATCCTTTTTCATTTCATTTTAAAGACCTTGCTTGTATGTGACAAGAAATAAAGTCACCTGTTCAACCTTGTGGGGTTTTTCTTCGTCCTCATGTTTTCCTCTCAACACTAAAGATCCTTATGTGCAAGTGAATTATCAAAATAAAATTGAAACATATGATAGACCCGAAATGACTTACTTTGTATCAAGTACATAAGCCCCATTTCTCTCTTCCTCTCTCATTTCAAAGAGTAAAGTATTTGTATTAAAACATCTACTTTTGGTCTCTGAATAGCTGTTTATTCCCTTTCTATGATCTGGCAGTTTATGCTTTTTTTTATATATCTGTACAGGCAATCGACCAATGACATTTAATGGTAGAAGTTATGCCAGATGGACATTAACAGAGACAACAGCCGAGAGATTAACCATGTCTATGAGATTCCGTACAAGAAAATCTGACTGTAATCTGATGTACACTAAAGGTCGTGTTGATTACAGTATATTGGAGGTATGTTATATCTAATAATAAATATTTATTATAAAATCTTTGGTAGGGCAGTGGCAGGGATGCCATTTCCAAATTTTTGCACTTCGGACATTAAAAATTGCAGAGGATATGTCTGGAATATATGGGCGAACTAGCATCCCTGATGAGTTGTTAAATAATAATGTAATTTGATTCTTTAATTTTCAAATAATAATGTATAAACTGTTATTTTATTATTTAGATTAAAGATAATAATTTACAATATCGTTTTAACTGTGGATCTGGTGAGGGGTATGTTACTGTACCTGTCGATGTTAGTGATGGACAATGGCATATAATAATGGTGGAAAGAAATGGTCGCATTGCGGAACTATTCTTAGATCATGGATATAAAGCCATTTCATCGGCACCAGGAATTAATGATAAGCTCAACCTAGATTCTATGGATGTGTATTTTGGAGCAGAAGTGTCTATTTTCCCTGAAGGCTATCATGATATTAGGAAAGGTTTTGAAGGTTGTATAGAAGGGATAAGAATGTTTAATATACTTCTGCCATTTACTGGTACCAATAGAGTTGCAGTTACCCAGAAGTTTCAAGATGTTGAATTTAAATGTAAAGATTATAAACCTGCACCTATAGGAAGTAAGTAGTTATTACATTCAATTTTTATTCCCTAAGAAAATAAAACAAATATTTATTTACTGTGTGCAGCAGTATCAAATGCCCTAGAGTAAACATACTATGCACCATGCAATATAGTATGAAGTGTGTCTATAATATTTAGTATGTTTTTATACGCCCACATTCTGAAAAATGGACCCTCCCTCAATGAATTGAGCTGACTGACATGGCATCTAACAACAGTTTATTTATAACATGCGGTATCTCCCGCGAATACAAAGTTTTGAGAGGGATTTGAAACAAATTTCTGATAGATTAAATAGTTTGAGTATGTTTTTAGTCCAAATATATCATTAAATCACACAGTTTATATCTTTAATATATATATATATATTTGATAATATTACAGATATATGTAGTAGTCATCCTTGTATGAATGGAGGTACATGTCATTATAGACAGTATAATTCTTACATCTGTAACTGTAAACCAAGATTTCAGGGTCGTAAATGTGAAATAGATTCAAATTCATGTCAAGATAATCCTTGCTTTAATAAAGGTAAGACATACTAGTAGTAAATGAATTTTTTCACTGTAAGAGTTGTTTAAGTGCAGGGTCTATTTTAATTTGACTAGACCTCCTAATTTGGGTAAAAAATTAAATTATTTAATGAAAAGGTTACATGCTTACTGTTTTTATATACCCACATGTATTGTCTGTCCAACAGTATCTCCGCCCACAATTGATCTCAGAGTTATTGCCCTTGTTCTCTAGATAAAGTCTTGTGACACTTTCGCATCATAAATTCTCATCTTTTCTGCTTAAAATTTACGTGTTGCTCGAATTTCAATAATATTGGATAATTACTTTTAGAGTTATTGAACTTGATAAAGTTATATATTATGCCAGTGATATTATACAGTATAAAGATTTTGCTTTTTAACTACCTGAAGATTCACAATATGGGCAAATGATTCATTGCCTGGTAACCTTGATCTTCTTTTGATGTTTGAGAGATTAAAAATACAAAGATTTGTAGGACATGCTACTGCAATAACTGTGCAAAAACTGTAATTTATGTGCCAGTCTAAGATAATAAATTATGCTTGATTTAGTTTATTGACATGATTTTAGAGACAATTTCCTTAAGGTGGAATGTCTAATGTTTCTGAATGGAATGTTATAAAACTTTGTGAGATAGTTCATTAGGGTATAAGCCTGAATCTATTGAATTTCACAATTTTCACATTTTAATTTTCAGAATTGTTTTGCTGTTATATATTTATGGTCATATTTTGACTAAAGCTTGTGAAGGCCATACAAGGCTATGGGGAATTTATGATATTGTTCATTTGGGTCTAAGGATGAACCCTATCAATATATTTAGAATTAGTAGGATTGTTCATAGAGACATTGGGGGTTTGGGTGACCGAAAGGTTAACTTTTGTGCATTGCATCAAAAGGTCTGTCATTGAGTCTAGTGGCATGGTTTCGATATATCCCGCTTGTACGTGACAAGGAGTAGGAACACCTGTTCATCGTCGTGGGTTTTTGTGCCCTCTGGTTTCCTCCCATTGCTAAAGACCCCTACACGCAAGTGAATTAATGAAATAAGATTGAACCATATGTTAGTCCCAAAATGACCTAGTTTGTGTCGAGTGGACATTAAACCCCATTTCTCTCTCTCATAGAGACATGATGAGGAACCCGATTGAAAAATCAGAATATTTTGATGATATTAACGGTTATCATACATATTTACTTTCAAATACATGTAATCTTGTAAACCCTATGTAAGGCAGACTTCTCAATTTCTTAAAACTCTTTAGATATTTTAGGATCGTAAATTTTCACTTTTATTCTTCTTTTCACATATTTCTTGTACAGAGTTTATTATAGATTTTTTTAAAGCTTGATCTGTGAGAGTTGTTAACATAGAGATTTATTGTTACCTTACACTGGTCCATTTTATCATAATGATAGCTATGACAGAAGTAGCATAACGTTTTGTTTTATTCTGTCAGATTACAAATTGATATAAGCATTATATTTGATATCTAATATGTTACCGTAATTTTTACATATACATTATTTCGTCTATTTCCTAGGAATTTGCTTACTTGATAGAAAAGTTATAAATGGCTTTACATGTACATGTCCCGATGATCTGAAAGGAAAACAGTGTGAATATGGTATTTATTGTAAACCAGATACATGTAAAAATGGTGGCAAGTGCATTGAAGGAAGAAATGCACCTCTTTGTCACTGTACATCCAGATATGAAGGTGATTATTTTGAGTCTGAAGATTATAGATGGCTAACTTGAATAAGGTTTAAAATTAACTGCACTGAATTCCTGTAAAATGTTTTTTATTAAAGGCACACTATTCCATTTTGAAAGACAAATAACAACTTTCATACCATACAAAATGAAACATTATCCTACCAAAATGCATATTGGTCTAAGAATTATTGAAATTTATCCAGCCTAACATTACTTTCTATTGATTTCATGTTGCCGTCTTTATTGTCTTATAATCATTAAGAATTGATAAACATTTAGATATGGTTCCTGGGTTTAATCATCTAAATTACTGTTTCTACAACACTCTTTTAGCCCATATTTTTGTTATTAAGGAAAATGTTTATTGACCGTACATCAATGGGGAAACTTGCTAAAATAAATATTTTATGCAAAACAACCAAACCCCATTTAATTGACTTTTTTAAAGGATGCCTTGCACTATGCAGGAAAGGTGTTTCTCTTTTAGACATTGTTATTGGCATATTTTTTTGTGCAAGTAGACCATTTATAGATGCTATATTTTATTTCCTTGGTGGGGGTGGATGGCTGAATGGTTAGCGTGCGCGTGCTGTATCATAAAGTCTGTCATTGAGTCGACGAGTGTGGTTTCGAATCCCCGGTTGTACGTGACAAGGAGTAGGGTCGCCTGTCCAACCTCGTGGGTTTTCTCCGGGTCCTCCGGTTTCCTCCCACTGCTAAAGACCCCTACGCGCAAGCGAATTATTGAAATAAAATTAAACCATATGTTTGTCCCGAAATGACCTAGTTTGTGTGGAGTGGACGTTAAACCCCATTTCTCTCTCTCTCTCTCTCTCTCTCTCTCTCTCTCTCTCTCTCTTATTTCTTTGATATAAAGATTGACAAAATATTAATAACTGTATTTATTATTAGGTTTATATTGTGATAAGATGGTGGATCAGTGTATTGTTAATCCATGTGAGAATGGTGGTACATGTATCAACCGAGGTGAAGATTATGAATGTAGCTGCATCAGAGATAGAGCCGGTCGTCATTGTGAAGAAATCATTACCGTTAATTCCTCCATTAAGATATCACTACACCTTATCTACATTTTTATTGGTAAATGAGAAAAACACTTTGTAATATATTAATTTATTAGGTGACTGAATTTCCAAGGGTTTTGGATGCTTTTTTTTAGCTTGTTCTCTATCCATCCCTTGCAAAATGTGGGCGTATCTTCCATGGCAACCGCTGATCTATTTGACAGCATTCGGTTAATGTTTGGTGGGTATATGAACATAGAAGATGACTGCGACCATTAATACCATTAGTGCTACTGTTAGGACATTCTTATCCGAATAACACTGGCTGCACAACACTTCATGGACCAAAGATAAATTATTTTCTGTCAGATGCAGTTATATAAAAAAACCCATAATATTTGATAATGATAAAAATAAAAAACAAGTCATGAAATGTGATAAAAACATTATAAAAATATCATAAAATTTGATAAAAACATCATAAAATAATCATAAAATTTGACTGAAAAATATCATAAAAATCATAAGAATGGACTTGAAGCTTTCATAAAAATATAAGTTTTTGATAAAAATCTGTGTACGGTCCCTGGCAACATGATAAAAAGGAATATGCAATGACACATTTATTACAGTAATAAATAGACTAACATATTTACACTTTTCATTTTCTTTTTACAATAACAAATAGACAATCTTTTTTACACCTTAGGTCATTTTATTACAGTAACAAATAATAGACAACCCTATTCACATACTGAGTCTTTTTATTATAGTAACAAATAGACAAACTTATTTACACCTCAAGACATTTTATTACAGTAATGAATAAACTTTTTTACACCTAATTCGTTCTATACACCTGTACTATAACATCTTATACAAACAAATGAACCCAATATTCTTTTGAGAGTCATTACAAGAGAATACAATAATTCAAATGTTTAGTTTAGCCTGGAAATAGTTATTAGTTATATTATATACTAGTCATGTACATTTTATTATCTATCTAAATCTATAATGTATCATTATTTGTTGATAAGTATTGCTTAAAGTGCTTAAATCCTTTAGAATTTGATGACGTAAAAAAAAGCATTAAAAAGCCATCCATACTTATTAAATTGTAATGAAGTGTCCAGCCATGAGGGCATTTTATAGTGTAAACATGTAAATTTTCAAAACAAAATGTGTACATTAAGCAATAATATTTTTTTCTAGCTATTGCAGTGGCTGTTATCCTGTTTTTTGCTATCGTTGTCATTATTTGTTGTATCTGCAAAAGACGAAGACGTAAGAATCGTAGACGCTCTGGCAGAAGTTCTGAAGGAGAAACAGTTCGAATGCTGGATGATAAGAGATCAAACAAAAAATTAAGTGGAGAGGACATCCATATGGATCGTTACCCTAGCAGTCCACCGCCCGTTCCAGATCGACCAGTTTCTTACACTCCTAGCAACCATGATTCTATGAATACATTGAATAATTTTGATACTGTTGGAAATTATGGTAGTGCCGCAGATGGATTGCAAAGGATGGGCCTCCACAACATTCACAGTTTTACCCCAGCAGATGTATATACTCATAAGTTTGGTACACCTCCTGTTGTTCAAAAACAATATTACTCCACCTTCCAATCTCCACCATCAAATCCTGCTTCTGATACAGATTCTATACAAAAAGATCCACAAGAATATGAATATCCTAACTTTATGGAAAATTATCCAGGTAATTAAAATGTTGAATGTTTTCATACACCTACATTTTCATGTTGATGTATATTGTTGTCGCCCCTGTCCCTCCGTCGCCTACTTGAAATATAGGTTTATCTCGCAAAGATCCTGTGTATTTCGATGTTGGCAGGTATTGGACCGTAACTTTATGGATTATACACCACTGTTACACCCTAATGACAGTTAAGTTCATATTTCGTGAAAGTTGGACCGAGAAAATGGCTGCTACTCGTACGCTAATAATACTAAAGTATGTAATACCAAGGTTGAGAACTAGATGAAACTTAAAATATATGTTTATATCCCAACGATCTCAGTTCCTTTTGATATCCGCGCATGTTGGACAGTAACATCCTGGATTCTGGCCTCTAAGCTTGTTCTCTTTCCATTTATACATTTATTTTAACTACCAAAATATACCTTTTGTTAGAATTATATGTACTGGGTACGTTATTTGTTGAAAAGTAATAGACACTATATTCTTAACTATTACCTTTCAAATTATGAAGTAGTTTCATAGTTCATTGATTAAAACTTGTTATAGTAGTAATTATCCTGTACATTAAATAGACTTGTATTACCAAAACATTTTAATTGAGACAAGTTATTTACCAGATATTTAAGAGATATTTTGAGATTGTTATTTTTGTGTTTCTAGTTGAAAAGAAACATCAAGATAAGATGACTATGAAATTGCTACCTGGTATGAGCCCTAAAGTTATACGTAATGCTCTAGCTCGACAAGATGCTAGCTCTGTTAGTAGTTTACCTGTATCAGAGTCTGAGGATGATTTAAATGGTAAGTATTATCTTATTTTCTAGATCATATTATTTCTAAAAATGAAGATATCATACGAAGCTCTATAAAAATATTGTGTTTGGGTGCACATTAATAAATAATATCAACAAAAAGAAATTGTTTTGTAGATTCTCTTGGCAATGGTTCTCTGATTATTATACAGTATATTGCATTATGTTATATAATAATATATGTGTATGTTTAAATAAGCATGTCAATATTTCAATAAGAATGAAAAAAATCACAAACGAGTGTTTTTCATATGCATAAACCACTTTTAATATCATGTCCTTCAAAATTAGATTTAGCTGATGTAAAAGACCTTGTTTCCCGACCACAATCATTTCTTGTGATAAAATGATTATAACCATGATGTATGTAAGAAATATACTCAGGACTCTGGAATTATATTCTCTTAAAGATACTTTCCCACAAAAGATTTATCAGGTGGTTATTTCCAATAAAATTATGGCAATTTTGGTATATATGGAAGGTGGAGATGCCCAATGTTTCTAGAAAAATACTGGATTCCTTAAGTACACCAACTGGGCACGCACAGGACAAAAATGAGAGAGTGTCACTAATTGGCCAATCTGGTTAAAACACAGATCCTATTTCGTTTCATTTTTATAGTTCAAAATTTTGTTTTACTTGTCTTTACTACACTTGGATCTGGAAGAGTTGTTATTTAACTCGTGTTCTAAATGGTGTCGGGGATAAGCCAATGAAACGGTCTGTTACCACGGAACTGTGGGTAATCCACTAGTAACATCAATGCTGATTGGTTAATCAAATGTCTGATGTCATAGGGTCATAAGTCGGTCTTTTCACCCCTGATGTGACCTATAGCTATAACTTGTCAGATCTTCACGTAGTGTAGTATAAAAAAACGAAACGAAATATAGATCTGTATTTTAATCAGATTGACTAATTGGCAGCTTGGCAATTAAGGGCTGTCTGATCAGGTGACGTCAAAGGTTGTCTGATTTCTCAACGTTAGGGAGCGCTTGATGTATATGTTGATAAGCTTGATGGTGAGCGGATGTGGAAAAGTGAGAAATGTACAACATGACTTCTTTTAATAGATTTTTTATAGCTCGGGGTATTTCCTCTCGATTACAATGTTTTGAGAAGGATTTGAAGCAAAATTTTGATAGATTAATTAGTTTGAATATGTTATTAGTCCAAATATATCATCAGATCACACAGTTTGTACGCGGGAAGGTATTGTTAAACCAGTGGAGAGTGATATTTGAGTAAATTAAATATTTATAGTCACAAAGCCTATAACAACAGAATGTCATGATTATGCCATCAAATATGTCATTAGTACTGACAGAAGTGCAAGAGAACCCATTTCTGTATCACTCAAATACATTTCACAATGTTTCATAAAAATTATTAGGGTGGGTATTTAAAGTTGTATATTTTTCTGTTATTTATTGGGTGAGATTTTGATGGGGAATGGGAAGTAGAAGTTTATTACAGAAAATATCGTTCAGACTGTGTAATTAAAAACATTGATCTTCATCTGATACTTGTATATAAATCAAATAGTAGGCTGTGTAGATAGGCCATAACTTTATAATCACTCATATCCATCTTGCCATTCACAATCCTTCTAAATGCTCTACAGAGTATTTGAAATTTTGTTCAAACTTGCTGGAATTGTTAGGCTAGTCAACTTTTTATATAATGTGACAGATTCACATAACTGTTGTTTCATTACTGTTAACAAAAATAATAATATTATTATTATTGAAGTGCAGCCATTCTTATTATCTTATGAAACAAAATAATTAATGTAAATGTTTTTTTTATAATGACAGCTTTATAACCCCAACTCATGATTTCGTTTTGTTATATAAATGTATAAATTTAGTGTTAAGTTGCCAGAACTATATGATAATTTAACCCAGAATTCTTGCTCCTGTTGGTATATAAATATGTTGTTTATCACATGTTTAAAACTAAGATGCATTACCATTAATTAAAACTAGAAAAGTCTTTATGACAAAAACTGTTGTTTATAACATGTTGAAACTGACATCTGCTAATTATAAGTAATCAACTATTTTATGAGTTGATACATGTAATTCTAGACAAACTTTCATGCTTTGAAGTTAAAGTGATTTATTAGAATTGTTGTAGAGCAGTTCTGTTAAAGATGTTATATAGTGGTTGTTATTTAAATGACCGATCCCAGATATTATATTTAGTCAAACGGGTTAATTCTATGTGAAAGACTTTTAGAAATCTTTATCTTGTGATATCTTTACGAACAAATACAAACTTTCATTTTCATATGTCCTTTCGATATTTCAACAAATTCCAAGCTATTCCCATATGCCTGGGTAATCATGTCTAGTGTAAGTTATTTTGATAAGTGATCATTGAGATTATCATACAATTGTCCCATTAATCAAATCTTGTGGTCATTTTTAAACAATTCAATATTTTGAGTTTCATATTCAGCTGTCTCATTACGTTTCGGCATTTGATTTGCCAACTTTAATTTGAGTCAACCAATGCACATGAAAGGGGGTATTAAAACAGTAATTATAAAAACTTTATCTTAGTAATGTAGAAATTTAGCAAATACGACAGATTCATATTTTAACTAATTTTCCCCCACGAAAATAATTCATTTTCATTCCTTCATAACTTTTTTAATGCAGCTAAAAGATGGCGGCGAAAAGGTACTTATATGTTTATGTCTCTGTATGAAATGGAATGAAATATTTTGTACTTTTTTATTTCATTAATTTCTGCCTTGTGATTCATTGTACATGCATATGTTACTATCTGGATGCATTTAAAGGAAACAGTCCATTTATTTCTATATTCTAACAATTTGTCGATGAGATTGATTATGAGGACAGCTTCCAGAATCAACTTTCATAGACTTTCTAAAAGCACATGGAATTAAAAATTGCATTCATGAATTCACTGGCTGAACAAGAACTAGCAGTTGTCAATTTGACACACAAAATAAACAAATTTGACCAAATAACTAAAAGCATCTCCATTGTTAAGTTCAAGGGCACAATATTGACAGATTTGATGATATTGATGTTGTCACTAGCATATTCTTTAAAGGTAACACTTGAAAGGGTTTACCTAGAATTTATTTTTTGGTAGATTTTAGAAATAGATCGATTGTCTCCTTTATCGTTTGTTCCATCTGTAAACTGATATAATTGTCATAGCAGGAAGAAATTCAGTGGATGCCATCTCATTTGTATGTTATGTCTTCATGTCCTTTATTTTAAATCAGTTATCTAGCTTTGTGTGTTGTATTATACATATCTAATATTATTGGGTCATTGCAAATTTTCTTGCAATATATTTTGTTTGGAAACTAAAACTTGTGCTGAGTCAACTAATGATTTTCCTATTCATGTTGTATTCAGATTTTGTACGAAATGTTCACAATTCCCATCCACAATTTATATTTCTCTGTACATTCCTAGCTTTTATTGTAAATATGTTTGTTGGATATTTAAATTTATGTATGTTATACAGTATAAGTGTTTTATATGCATATAGATAAACTTTACCTATCTCCTTATATAACACCTTTACATCTTAATATTATAGCATGACTAACAGCTTAACTATTTACTTAGGATAAAAAAATACAGTACAGATTCTTTAATTAATTACAAACTAGGCTACAACTCATAATGATACCACAATCTGACAATAACTTGTCTTTAATTTAGTTCATTTTTATAAACACATTTTATGTGGGGAGTATATTGTGGTTGCCCCTAACCTTCACTCCGTTCATAATTCTTGTACATCAGTTTTGGTTCATTTATTGAGTTCCCACAGTGATTTTTAGCCCCTATCACCAAACTTGTTAACACTCCACTGGTCATAGGTTGTTATTTCAAACTTCCTGTGAATGTTCATCTAATTCTAATGATGAGGAGGATCCCATTAGTTTTTATGCTCAATTTATCCCATTAGTTTTTGTGCTCAATTTGTGTGTCGTGAAATGTGATCTTTGGGTCCAATCTTTGAGATTTTATTTTTACAAACTTGGCAGGATTGTTCAACTTATGTAGAGAAACTGTATCGAAATGAGGGTTGACCATTAATTGTATGTGTAGTATTTGCCCCTAAACCGCGATGCAGGACGGGCGGCTTGACAAAAAAACGGGACAAAAAAACGAGGTCCTGTGTACACATTGGCATACACGTAAAAGGTCCCTTGACAGTTGGAATTCGATATAAGAGTGTGCCGCTGTCCAGGCAAAATTTCCCTCATAGCACACTGTATGGCGTATTCCTGTCTTCATTAGCCCAGTTCGGAGCAGAACAGTAGGACGTTAAAACGCATTTCATTTCCTAAACCTGAAAACTTAAACCCCATCCTTCCAAATGCTGCTGTTATTTGTTTGGAAAGCAAGCAATACCAATCTAACATTGTTACCTTAAAGATGCATTATGTAAGATTTAGATAAGGAGCTGGTTGTTCTTGCTACAATAGTTCAAAAATGACAAATTACTTTATTCTAAGCAAAGTTATGACTGTTTCAAATTTTCACAAGATGTGGCATAGATTGTTTATTATCGTAACAAGACTTGGTCCCGATTCGCCATTTTCAAATTATATCATCAAATGGTGACCGTGTTTCAAATCCATTTAAACCTCTGCCATCCGATCGTCTTGAGAGTTGATTATAGGCTTGCCATGGGAATAAATGTCTAAATAATAGTTTATATAAACAATTGAAGCCAAAGTAAAGACCTGCAATATGCAGATTTAGCTGTTACATAATGCATCTTTAATAATAATGGGTTGACACCCTTGCTGCTATGAAAATACATGTCCATCTACAGGTAGGTGCTCATTCAACTAGAATAATTCCTCTACACACACACATAATACATAATGAAAAGACATGTACATGCCAATTAGACTACCATCTTTTAGATTTCTATGTTTTATCCTTAAGGATGCAGCAGAAAAATAATTGTCAAATAAAAATGAAAGAATAATTGACAGCTGAATGAATGAATGTACAAAATATACTGACAGGTTCATATCTTTGCCCCCTGTCTTTCAGAGAAAACAGGGCACTATTAAAATGAGTTTGTTTATCCATCTGGAACACAATAACTCTGTTTCTAATTTAGGTAGAATGTTCAAATTCTGTATTGATGTTCATTAGGTGAATACATTTACAGGGTTTGATGATGTGTATTTTCTGCAGAGTTGATTTGTCTATGCTTTGGAATACCATAGTTTGATTCTAACTGAGGGATAATGAGTATTTTCTGTTCAGGTTAAACCAACTGATAAGCCATTTATATATTATCCCGCGCCGAACGAAGTTAGGGAGGGATATTGAAATGGGGTTTGTCCGTCCGTCCGATTTCGTTTCCGGAGCATATCTCATAAACCGTTCAAGATATCTTTCTGAAACTTTGCACACGCATCAACCTATTACAGTAGTTGTGCCTTTTGCTATTTAGGAATTTCTGGGATTTATATTTTTTGTGTTTCCATGGAAACAAATTTGACTTAGTTTTTGGTGTATAATTTTGTTTCCGGAGCATATCTCATAAACTGATCAAGATATCTTTCTGAAACTTTGCACACACATCAACCCATTACAGTAGTTGTGCCTTTTGCTATTTAGGAATTTCTGGGATTGATATTTTGTGTGTTTCCATGGAAACAAATTTTACTTAGTTTTTGGTGTACAGTTTTGTTTCCAGAGCATATATCATAAATCATTTAAGATATCTTCATGGCACTTATTTTGAATTTCTCAGATTTGATAATTTTATGTGTTTCCATGGAAAAACATTTGACTGTTCAAGATACCTTTAAAATAATTTTACCCATTATTTTATTTTCTGAAATCCAGCCTTCCGTCCTGATTTTGTTTCTGGAGCATATTTTATTATCTGTTCAAGAAATCTTTTTGAAACTTTGTACAAACATTAACCTATTATTGTATTTTATTTTCTGATGTATTTATTGTTTAACATACAGCAGCTAATTGAGGTAGGCAAAGGTTGTTGTGCAAACCTTACAGGGAGTAGCGTCCCTGCCTTACCGTGCTACTGTGGTCAGAGTATGAAATTCTGTGAATTGATATTCCATGTGTCGGAATATGAGATTTGTCTAAAGCTCCAGTTCCTCTCTATTTTCTATGTAGTCATGTCTAATTTTTAAAACCAGAGCTTAATGTCATAAATGATCTCAAATCTTCTAGTAAATATCAATCAGTCATTTGTTTTCAGAAATAGAGAGCAATATCTACTAAACAGGGCCACAATATTAGGACCAGTGACACTGTTTGCGAAATCTGATACATTTTTATATTGATAACCAATAGCATAAACAAGTTATTTTTCCTTATTTCTTCCAAACAAGTGCAAGGGCGCGGGATGTTGATGACTAGTCATCTTGTTTTGGGATTCAGATGATGAGACATCAGCCACACTATCTACTTTTTGTTTTATTATTATAGTCTGGAGGCTCAGTGCGGAGAGGGGGGGTCAAATGAGCATAAAACCAGATCCAACTTTTCTAGAGTAAAATTTTACGTAGAATACGATGCCAAGTGGTAATTAGTCCGCGGTTGGGGCGTTTTTGAGATATTCGGGGTCAAAAGTCAAATGAGGTCATTTGCACTGAAAGTGAATATGCGGCCATTCTTATATATCATGAAAACATGCTAAAAATGATCGAAAGTAATCATTCTTTCAATAAATATGTAAACTTGCTAAATTCACCTTTGTTCTTTGTGACCCTGGGGGTCAAAAGTTCCAATATTCTGTTTTTGCACTCGGAAAATTTCAAAATGTCAGCGTAAAATACAAAAACCAAAGCGAAACCTGTTCTAATTAATAATAGTAAAATTTAAAACGTATTTTTAGGTGATCTTGGCACCAAACTTTTACTTTGGAACGTCGAAAAAGATTATGGAAATGTGATTGTATATTGCCGTCGCCTCCCTCCACCCAACGGTCCGTCGTCAACAATTTCTTGTGAACACTCTACAGACTACATTTTTTATCTTATCTTATCAGTTTGAAATTTATATATATTGTTTATATTAGTGCAATGAAGAAGCCTATTGAATTTCAGCCATTTCCATTTATAACTTGTAGAGTTATGGTCCTTGTTTCATTTTGTTGAACCTGGCGAACGCTCTAAAGACAACAGTTATCATCCGATCTATAAATTTGATATAGTGCATATTTAACTAATATTTGTCATTGACATGGAAAAACCCCACAAGTCTACTCATTAAAAATGAATTTTATTTGGGACTCATATTCCGTTAAGCTCATTGACTAGCTTTTATCGTGTGTAATTTATCACAATTTCAATTTGAAAAAAACTTACAAGGGTTTCTATGACCACTGAAGTGTGAAACAAATTCCTTAAGGTTTAGGTTTTTATAAATATACAGGATAAACACATAAATCAGCATTTGTGTCCAAATTTTGAAAATTGGAAACATGGTAAGAACAAGAAATACACAATTATTTACTTTATTTTTGCATTAAATTGTATAAATATCTTACAAATATCTTATCAAAACTTTATCTGTAAAATATAATCCCAGCTAGGAATGCAATTATACCAAAATGTTTTTTGTGATTTTCTCAAAATCTTGAAAAATGACTTTTGAGGTTTTCCCATGTCACAGAATATAGGTCTAAAATA